CTTCTCAATATCTGCAAGGCCATGTTAGTCATATTGATATTGAAGCATCCCCTTGTTGATTCAGAGACCTGTAGAGTTAAAGTGGGCCATAATATGGGGTCAAAATTTTCCTGGGAATATAAATATTCTTCAAAAAATCATCCGAAAAACAAGAAGGCTTAAGTTACTCAGTTGAGTGTTGTGGCCTCTTGTGTTAGATTTGTGATATTTAAGCCACATTTTAGGTATTTTTACCGATTTAAAAAACTTGCTTGCAGTAGTTTATATAAATTAACTGACTGAATAACTTGCTATAGAGTCTATTATGTAGTGAACTTTTTTAGTAAAGAAATACACAGTTAAAAGCTAGCTGAACATGAAAATTCCATTAAATTCTGCAGAATTTCTTTGATAACGTGTCCATATTTAGTTAAAAGTAAATGCAGTCTTTGGAATTTTTATGGGATATTTTACAGTGTATTGATTTTAAGATGATGTTTATTATTTGTCTTTTATAGAACTTGCTGAGGCAATATCATTAAACTATGAAGGTATGTATGCTCAGTAATGGAAATTATTTTTTGATCTGATTAGATAAACATCATAACCATTTCTAATAGCTCTTTTATTATTTTTTTCTGCAATGTCAGTATTTGTACATTTTTATGGTATTTTGTGTCAATAAAATTGCATAACTTCATGTCAGCTGAGGACTGTGTGGGTTTGATTTATTGCAGTATTGGGTAGATTTTTATATGTGTATTGTCTGGAAACTCTTGAAAAGTGATATTTTGTGTCTTCTTGTTTAACATTTATATGAAGTATTTCCAAACATGCTGAAACACCATTAATTTTAGTTTTTTTTACAAAGAAATTTCTCAAATTCAGATTTTGCAAGATCTGTATTTGGAGTTTAATATGACTTAAATATTTTATTAGCAATAGTATTTATATGATTGAAAAGCTTATTTTTGTCTGTATTAATGCATGTACATCTGTATTTCAATATTATTTAAATTTACTGCATTAGAAATATTCCCACAGAAATATATATCTGGAAGTCGTATAGCCATTGTGAATCTTTACAAAAAGCCAGAAAAAATTTCCATGGAAATTCCTATTTTGCTTTTGATACACAGGTATGTGGGATACACAGTATTTGCCATATCTGGTTGTTACTATATTTTATCTTCTATTGTTCAGTCACAGTTAACAAGGACACAGGAAAAACAGAAATTCTACTCACAAAGGAGAAATCTGATCAGCAGTGGTCAAGCCTTGGCAAGAACCTAGAGAAATACAACAAAGTGGTCAAAGTCAAAAACCAAGGTACACCACCTGTGTATATTTGACAGAAGGTTCAATTTTCAGGTTTCCTGACTTGTAGTACTGTAGATTCCTTAATACTCACCAGGGATTTTCCACTGCCCAGTGTAGGGCCGAATATGGGCCCCATTCCCAATTGCAAAATCCCTCTCTTTTTCCCAAAAATGAACCCATAAAGTTAACTTGATCAAAGTTTTGGTAAAAAAGCATGGCCAGGTTTGGGTATCTGAAGGAAATGAACAAAATTTTAAGAAACTTGGCGAAAACTTTATTAAAATTGATCTATTCTCTGATTTACAGTTCAGAATAATTAAGGAAAAGATCAATTTTATTCATCATAAGTGTTTATTTCTTGAAAAACATCATGCAATAAAATTTCCCAATAAGTGATAAATGTCATTTAATTCCCAATTCCAAGGGCCTGGGCCCCATTCCCAAAATGGAGTGGAAAATCATGCAATAAAATTTCCCAATAAGTGATAAATGTCATTTAATTCCCAATTCCAAGGGCCTGGGCCCCATTCCCAAAATGGAGTGGAAAATCCCTGCACACAAGGAATTAAATATTGCATAATTTCATGAGAAGTTCTACTCGCGATATAAATTTACTTGCATTTATTTTTATAATTGTCGAAATACATGTTAAACTCTTGAACAAAAGTCCACTTGTGAAATGATGTTTGCGCCCTTTGTCATCCACAAGTTATTTAGCAATATATGATATTAACGAGGTTCGCTCATGAGCTTTTGAGCAGATTTTTATCTTGACCTATATTTAAAAAATTCTGCATTATGTTTTAATTCCAACAATAAATTTGGATTCTACAATGCCAATTTAACTATATTCAGTTAAAACTCCATGATTAAATTCCATACCAAAAGCATTAAGTGAGGAACTATATTTTGTGGCGGAAGGTTTTTTAAGAAGAAAATGATCATTTTTTTCTCTTTCAAAGTATTTAAACTATGTTAAGTTTGGATTCCTATTTTTACATGCAGTCTACACACATAGTTATTTTGTGCAGTAGACTGTTTTATACTGGTCCTAAATTATCTATTAAATAAAACTTCATGAATTCTATCATCATATTTGAGAAATATAGCAAATATATTGTGAAAGTGAAGGAAAAAATAGCCCTAATTTAAGCTTAAAATTAGCACTATTTTAATAATATCTAAAAATTAACATCACAGACCCCCACTTTTAATTTCCTTTTCTGAATATATACAAAACTTTTAACCATTCTTCTTAAATTCAGTAAAATGTCATTACTTTCAAATGATTTTTTTGCTTGTTAAATTTTTAATGCCAGAAAAATGAAAATGTTTGAGTGCAAAAAGGTCAAATAATTGAACATGCGGAGTAATTTGAAAATTTCTTTGTTGTCACAAATTTTAATGTGTCTATTTGAGATGAAGTAAAGACTGTTTTCGTTCCCAAAATTTATTTGAACAAAAAATATTGGAGGAAAAACTTTAAAAAATGATTTATGTGTAAGACATATTTACAGTGCAGAAAGGTCAAACTAAATGCTCTGTAGCGCCAAAAGAAGCGCATTGACCCCAAATTTTTGTTTTGAATTTTAATAAAGCTATGTGTATAAATTCCAAAAATATACTTGATAAAAAATTCTCATTACTTTTGATGGCAGGATCCAACCTCCTTAAGTTCTCGTGTAATACAAAGAATCTACAGTATTTATAGAACTGATGTGTCCTTTTGCCCTTGAGCCTTAAATTATCTATAATAACAATGCTAACATACCTATATGTATACTGTAACTTCAGTATCTTTGAAAATTGTTTGAAGAAGAAGGGGTTAACAAAACTAAAGTCAGTGCCTTGTAATTTGTATGCAACCTTTTATACAGGGTCTTAGGAAATGTGTAATGGATCTAAAAATAAATGTGCTAAAAAAATAAATCTGTTTGAGCCTTGGAAGGAAAGTTTTCATGTTCAGAAGTTCTTTTATTGTAGATATAGATTACAGAACATGTAGTGTTGATTCTGTGTGTCAAGTTACCCATGATTCCAAGTTATTATGTCTGTCACTTCCTGTTGGAACCAGAATGTGTGTACCTATTGGATACCATGTCCACATCAAGCATAAAGTCTCAGGTAAACACAAGATATAGTCTAGCATTGGGAAATGTTTATAAAGTATTGTATAATGTAGGCATTTAATGGTGATTGTTCAGGAACAGATTTTTCTGTGTCAGCAAAATAATGTTTGAATAATGGGAGGAAAATGTTTAGAAACATGAATTTTGTGTAAAACTGACACAGAATTTTTTTTTTATCTCGGCAATGTCTTGTATGTTACAGGAATGGAGGTGGTTAGGAGTTACACAGCTGTGTTACCGACCTTGACCGGGGAGCAGGATAAAAGAGTCAAGGACGGTAGAGTCCTGTACTTGATGATCAAGATTTATAAAGGGGGAGCATTAACTCCATGGATTGATTCCCTCAGTATAGGTACTGTTTTACTATACATGGCTCTTCATCTTAAAGATTGTATGTTTTCCCCTCAAAATTTAATTTGAAACAAATATTATTGTAAATGTACTCAGTGAAAGTCTAGGATTGCTTCAGAATTGAACTTAAAAAATTTTTTATCATTTTTATTTGAAAAATGAGTAAAAATTAAGGATAATTTTGTGATACAGATGGGGCTTACAGAATGTTGTATTTTTGGAGCCATTTTACCTCATCAGTAGGTATATGAATAAAAAGGTAAAATAAATCAAAACTTTGACCTTCATTGCAGGTGACCTTGTAGAGGTCAGTACATTTACTGGGGACTTTGATGAACAGCGCCTGTCTGTGTGTCATGATTTAGTCATGTTTGCTGCAGGAACAGGTTTCACACCAATGGTTCGCCTCATAAACCACTGTGTAGAGGACCCTAAGTCAATAGTGTAAGTAAAACAATGTATAGAGGAGTGTAGATAAACCACTGTATAGAGGACCCTAAGTCACTAGTGTAAGTAAAACAATGTATAGAGGAGTGTAGATAAACCACTGTATAGAGGACCCAAAGTCACTAGTGTAAGTAAAACAATGTATAGAGGAGTGTAGATAAGCCACTGTATAGAGGACCCAAAGTCACTAGTGTAAGTAAAACAATGTATAGAGGAGTGTAGATAAACCACTGTATAGAGGACCCAAAGTCACTAGTGTAAGTAAAACAATGTATAGAGGAGTGTAGATAAACCACTGTGTAGAGGACCCAAAGTCACTAGTGTAAGTAAAACAATGTATAGAGGAGTGTAGATAAGCCACTGTATAGAGGACCCAAAGTCACTAGTGTAAGTAAAACAATGTATAGAGGAGTGTAGATAAACCACTGTATAGAGGACCCTAAGTCACTAGTGTAAGTAAAACAATGTATAGAGGAGTGTAGATAAACCACTGTGTAGAGGACCCAAAGTCACTAGTGTAAGTAAAACAATGTATAGAGGAGTGTAGATAAGCCACTGTATAGAGAACCCAAAGTCACTAGTGTAAGTAAAACAATGTATAGAGGAGTGTAGATAAACCACTGTATAGAGGACCCAAAGTCACTAGTGTAAGTAAAACAATGTATAGAGGAGTGTAGATAAACCACTGTGTAGAGGACCCAAAGTCACTAGTGTAAGTAAAACAATGTATAGAGGAGTGTAGATAAGCCACTGTATAGAGGACCCAAAGTCACTAGTGTAAGTAAAACAATGTATAGAGGAGTGTAGATAAACCACTGTATAGAGGACCCTAAGTCACTAGTGTAAGTAAAACAATGTATAGAGGAGTGTAGATAAACCACTGTATAGAGGACCCAAAGTCACTAGTGTAAGTAAAACCATGTATAGAGGAGTGTAGATAAGCCACTGTATAGAGAACCCAAAGTCACTAGTGTAAGTAAAACAATGTATAGAGGAGTGTAGATAAACCACTGTGTGGAGGACCCAAAGTCACTAGTGTAAGTAAAACAATGTATAGAGGAGTGTAGATAAGCCACTGTATAGAGGACCCAAAGTCACTAGTGTAAGTAAAACAATGTATAGAGGAGTGTAGATAAGCCACTGTATAGAGAACCCAAAGTCACTAGTGTAAGTAAAACAATGTATAGAGGAGTGTAGATAAGCCACTGTATAGAGGACCCAAAGTCACTAGTGTAAGTAAAACAATGTATAGAGGAGTGTAGATAAACCACTGTATAGAGGACCCAAAGTCACTAGTGTAAGTAAAACAATGTATAGAGGAGTGTAGATAAACCACTGTATAGAGGACCCAAAGTCACTAGTGTAAGTAAAACAATGTATAGAGGAGTGTAGATAAACCACTGTATAGAGGACCCAAAGTCACTAGTGTAAGTAAAACAATGTATAGAGGAGTGTAGATAAACCACTGTATAGAGGACCCAAAGTCACTAGTGTAAGTAAAACAATGTATATAGGAGTGTAGATAAACCACTGTGTAGAGGACCCAAAGTCACTAGTGTAAGTAAAACAATGTATAGAGGAGTGTAGATAAACCACTGTATAGAGGACCCAAAGTCACTAGTGTAAGTAAAACAATGTATAGAGGAGTGTAGATAAACCACTGTGTAGAGGACCCAAAGTCACTAGTGTAAGTAAAACAATGTATAGAGGAGTGTAGATAAGCCACTGTATAGAGGACCCAAAGTCACTAGTGTAAGTAAAACAATGTATAGAGGAGTGTAGATAAACCACTGTATAGAGGACCCAAAGTCACTAGTGTAAGTAAAACAATGTATATAGGAGTCCCAGTGTAAAATTAAGTACCAGTATATCACAGTATAGAAGACCTTACAAGTCTATATTTTAAATAAACTATATATGGTAAAGACAAAACTTTATGTGTAACATAAAATAACTGAATTCCAACACATTTTCATGCCTTTTCATGAATATAATGTTTAGCCAATGTTTTTTTTTTCTTTCAGAAATCTTAAGTTATTATTTTTCAATAAGAAGGAGGAAGACATTCTTTGGTATGATCAGCTACAGTCTTTAGCTGAGAAGCATGATAGGTTTGTGTTTTAACATCATTTTCCATTGACAATGATGGATCATGTTATTCTTCTTAAAAAATAAGAAACAATATGAGTCTATTCTAAATGTATTTCTTGGACATCTGGTCTGGATAAGTGCAACAGAATTATTGTTTACGGTTATTTCAAATATGCTAGTGTATGATGGGTTTGTCAATAAAATGAATTGAATTTGCCATGACTGTAATTGTTTTCATGGGACTACTGTCAGTAAACCATATGAATACTACTGTGGAGTCATTTTAAATCATGGAGATGAATGTTCCTGGGCAACCAAAATATTACTGGTTCATAGGGTTGTAATTTCATGAGTAACTTGTATAAACAAAAGATGTAATGAGCTGATGCATTGACAAATCAGTCTCAGTGATGTAAATGTGACCCTTGAAAACCAGGAAAATTGATCCCCCATGCACAAAGATGGTTCCACAGTAAGTGATGGCAGAATGTTTACTAGTGGATGTACTTTTGTTTTACTTTATGTACAGATTTTCAGTTGAGTACATTCTGTCAGAGGCAGACAACAGCTGGTGTGGTAAGACAGGAAGGATAACTCTAGATCTAATGAAAAACTCATTACCTCAACGGAAAGATCAGTCCAGTTTACTTATATGTGCCTGTGGTCCCACTCAATTTACTAATTTAGTTACTCAGTAAGTGTGAAATTTATAGAGTTGTCCCTAATTCTGTGTCATTTCATGGACAAACACATAGGGATCTCTTAGTCCAGCACCTTTCTATTAAATTTATTTACACAAGTTGTAGAACGTATGAATACAGTGTATGTCATCACATCTTCATGAACTTCCTTTGAAATATATTCAGTGAAGTGCAAAATGTGATGGAGTTCAAGGTTGTATCTAACCTCAAGGTCATGACAGACTAAACATTAACATTTTAGTTAGTATAGTTAATTAGTATAATTTAATTCTATAGAAAATGATCAAAAGAAATTAAAAACTGCTCATTTCCAGTAATATGTGACAACAATTTGTATAATACATAGAAACCATGAAATGGATGTAATGTCAACTATCTACCAGTTTTGTTTTGGTGCTAATGAATTTAAGAAAGATGTTGAGCAGTAGGTCCTGCAGTTTCAACATGATATTTTATATTAATTACCGGTAATCTTTACTTTAAATTGTGTCTAATATTTTGCAGATTTACCAAGGAATTAGGTCATTCTGATAGCGAGTACCATGCATTCCAAGGATGAAGTAGTCCCTAGTGAGCTCAAAACACAAGCAAACCATCTCAGGGAATATGTCTCACAACTGTGTCTGTAGCTCCTAAATCATGGTCTAACATAGAATTCCATGCAAAATGGCCAACACGGTCATCAATTGTACAAGCACAGCTGATTTAATTTATCTTCCATGTTGGTTCAGATACATGTACGTCAACAAAAAAAAAAATGAAAATCACTGTTAGTTGATGATTTATATGTGCAGAAAATCTGACAATTAAAAGTCTGAGAGTTTAGAAATGACCTACTTGTGTGTGGGTTTGTTTTTTTTTTTTTTCAAGCAGCAATGTCTATATTGGTAAGGCATTCAATACAGTGTCTCATATATCTGCATTGTTCAAGTTTTATTATGAAGTCAGATTTAAGTCATTGTTTCAATGAGCATAATGTTGTTAGCTACAAAATATAATAGACTGACATTACCATAAATATATCTTGTATTACAAGAATAATTGCTGGTAATTCACGGAATTTTTCGGAAAGCATGAAAGTAGTGTTACTTGAATGATGTCAACTTCATTACCATTTTGTTATGTGTCATTTAAATAGCAATTAATTTTTATGCCCCCGTATTGAAGATTCGGGGGTATATAGTTTTTGCCCTGTCCGTCCGTCTGTCTGTTTGTCTGTTTTTCCGCAAAAACTTTAACTTTTGATTGGTTGGAGCTATGGCTTTCATATTTCACATGTGTATTCCTTGTGACAAGACCTTTCTTTGGGTACCACCATATTTGACCTTGACCTTGGAGTTTGACCCAGTTTTGCAAAATTTTTCCCAACTTTAACCTTGGCCATAACTTTTGAATGATTGGTGCTAGGGCTTTCATACTTCACATGTGTATTCCTTGTGACAAGATCTTTCTTTGGGTACCACCATATTTGACCTTTTGACCTTGACCTTGGAGTTGGACTTACTTTTAAAAACTTTAACATTGGCCATAACTTTTGAACGGTTATTGCTAAGGCTTTCATACTTAGCATATGTGATCTTTGTGACAAGACCTTTCTTTGGATACCAACAACTTTGACCCTTTGACCTTGACCTTGGAGTTTGACTTACTTTTGGAAAACTTTAACCTTGGCCATAACTTTTGAACTGTTGGTGCTATTACTTTCATACTTCACATATAGAGTCCTTGTGACAAGATCTTCCTTTGGATACTAACAACTTTGATCCTTTGACCCTAACCTTGGACTTTGACCTACTTTTCGAAAACTTTAACCTTGGACACAACTTTTGAAAAGTTGTTCCTAGGGCTTTCATATTTAACATGTTTTTTCCTTGTGACAATACCTTCCTTTGGATCCCAACAATTGTAATCCAATGATCTTGACCTTGGAGTTTGACCTACTTTTGAAACAGTTTAACCTTGGTCATTACTTTTGAATGATTGGTGCTTCAGCTTTCATATTTCACCTGTTTTTTTCTTATGAGAAAGCCTTTCTTTCCTTAGGCACCATTAATTTTGACTATTTGACCTTGACCTTGATGTTTGAATTACTTTCGAAAAACTTTAACCTTTTCCATATCTATTCAAGGTTGCTGCTAGGGCTTTCATATTTCACAGGTATATTCCTCGAGACAAGTCCTTACTTTGGGTACCAACATATTTGATTTGCATTTGAGAAAGTTTAACCTTTGCTATAAGTTGCCATACAGGGGCATCAGTGTTTCACAAACACATCTTGTTTTTTTTTTAAATTGTTTAAATGTGTAAGAAAAATATTTTGTTTAGTGAAATGATGGAATATAAAGTTTTCCTGGTAAGCTTGAAAACTCAAATTCATTATATGTTATGATTTCAGTTGCACCAATTGGAAAACAGGCTGTGTGAACAGTGTGTATTTTATAGATAATTAAATTTTGATCCCTACATTGTATAGACTATATATATTCTAAATAAAAAGAATTATATTTTTAAGAAATTCTTTTAAATATTTTCTGCAAGAAATATTTCCTATAACAATTGTAATACATGTATCAATTTTGGCAATGTCTGCAATTATCAGCAGATTCCATAGACCATACAAGCAGATACGTGTGTGTAGGAGACAAAATTATTTTGCTACAGTCAGGTGTAAGAACACATCGTTAGTATACTGTTAACTACTTGTGGTATTTATAAATGTAAGGGAATACATATAATGCACAGTAGTTCTGACCAGTTTCTTGTTTCCAATATCTGTGATATATATTAGATCTAGTGTTTGTTTACAGGCATTTTTGAAAAGATGTTTACTACTTGTAAAGAAGGGGAAAATTGTGTGTAGATAGTACAGACCTTTTGTGTACAAGTTGTGATTGACATCCTAAGATCTTGTAGACTGTGTCTTTGTGTGAAGATGATGTGAAGATCATTGTGAATTTTAAGAGGTTGAAAACAAATACAGTTGAACTTTGTTTGTTAAACATCAATATAGCTTAAATGAATGATATTGGTGTATGTCTAAGTGAGCTGGAAATCCCAACCGCTTTTTCTTTATGTATTTAAACCTCAATATCTCAACCACTCAGATATCTTGGAGTTTTTTCACTGCCCCATCAAGTTTGAGTTAATGAAGTTTGACTGTATTTATTAATATAATTATGGTATTATTTCATTAAAATGTAATGAGCATGCATATGATACTGGAAAAATTTTGATAAATTTATACTTTACTGGTATTATCTTTACTAACCCAAGGCTTTATGATGATGAACTAAGCCTAACATTAGCAAGATAACTGCAAGAATTGATTTCACTGTTAAAAAGTGATGCGATATGAATTACTTCCCCTTGCTTAAGATAGATTGTGTGTGTGTGTGTTCAAGTGTGTGAATTTGAATTTCCAAATACAAGAATGGCACTTTTTCTGTTATGTTGCATCTTACTTCCATTTAGTTGCTCAACTGTTATTTTTGATAGAGTTTGTGTTATCTTAAAAAAAATTATTAATTTGATAATTGGTTTGATTTTTTTCATTTTCTCATTCTGGCACTGGAAAATTCCCATTACAACATGTGTATGTACTGACAAAACAACTTCTTCTGATATTAATGGTATGTGTACTTGCAGTGATAAAAAAAATCTCTGTATGTTAATTAATGAATGTTAGATTCCTTGATGAGTCCTATTTTTTACATTCTGTACACCATAGGGTTATTTTTGTTGTTATAGAGATGTTTTTAGTGTTATTTAAATTAAAATACCTAGATAACATACGACTTGTTGTTGTGTCAAAGCTGAGTAGGATTTGATTTGGTATACTGTCAAGTGTTCAAGATGTGTGCATTGTAAATGTTCACATGGTAAAAATTTCTTTTCAATGTTGGTTATTCATCAAAGCAAAGGGAATAAAGTGGGTCAACAGTGGCAAATGCAGTTTGAATTCTCTCATTAAAAATGTGTGTATATATATATATATATATATATATATATATATATATATATATATATATATATATATATATATATATATATATATATATTTACATTATTTTCTGATGAGTTTCCACAAGTTACGCGATTCAAATGTCATTTTTGAAGCAAAACAGTTTGCACTATAGTTTTGACATCAAATACGGTATTATGACGTCACAATGGAGATATTCTTGCTCATCTCATGGCAGTTCATGAGAAAATGAACAATCATCTAATTTGCAAAGAATCTTAAGGAAATACTTGGAAATGTAAATATATATATATATATATAGAACACTAAAAAAACCAACAACACTGTATATCCTACCTGTCGGATCTGCTAAATACAAGGTCACTGATGGAAATTTATACAAATAAGCACTAAAAATGTCCAACAATTAAAAATTGTCAAATTTTTGGGACGCCCTCTCCCGACTGACTGGCTAAAAATAGCCTGACTCAAGACTTTTTTAAGCCCCAGGAAGCAATTATTTTTCTGTATTCTGGAAAATAGATTTTAAAAATTTAACATTGAATTTGAAATTTGCTGAGAAAAAATTTTTTCTTACCAACCTACCAACCTAATTTTTTCATCCTGAGTTGGGAGCTGGGGCAAACATTTTTTTTTAAACTTGGCCCCAGTATGCATTTATGCTAGTGCAGAGAATAAAGTAACATGAAAATAATTTGTCTTGTAAATTATAATTCTATTTTCAAACACTAGTACATGTAATTGTAACAGAAGAAAAAATCGATTTATATTCCAGTCTTTTATTAATGTTTATAAAGTATATAACAGAAAACAAGAACCGATATAAACAACAAACATCTTAGGCTCACAGCCACCATAAATTAAAGTAGATGTACATTTCATCATAACGCCCATAAATCGACAAAGGAGAAAGTTGGCTAAAACATTACAACCATACTAAACATTAAAACATTTGCTTCCTTGCAGTTTTTTAGCATTTGAAAATCCACTCCAATATTTAAAAAGAAAAGTGAGAATAAAAGTAATTAACATGTAATTTAAGGAAATATTTAAAATATTCTTTTAAAAAATGTTATACAATTTAAAATCTATAATATGAAGAACACAAAAAAAAATTGTTTCCTTAATGGTGAATGTCTAAGTTCTGTATAACATTTCAAACATGCAATACAATTATAACTTTCATGCAGTTAAACAAATTATATATACTTGTAAGAATAAAACACACTTATCAAGTACTGGACAAAAAGCAATGTATTTAAATTATACATATTTAAAATTGCACCAACATACTACCAAGAGTAAAAGCATCTCAAAATTTCTTTACTTAGAAAATTTGTTATCATCTATCATACTCTATCTATTAACCCAGTCTCGTCATTGCTAGCTTGGGAAGCCATTTTCTTTTTCACCCATGTCAAAGCATGTGCTATCCTCTTGGCATGCTTGTGAGATGCACCAGTTATGTCTCTGATATTCTGATTGGTTAGTTTAAAAAGCTGCTCTAAGTATTTGTAATTTTGTCCAATCACAGCACTGGTATACATGGGAAGGCCAATGGAGGTGAGGAAATCAGGAATGGAGGATGTTTTGAGCTCAGAACCAGTGGAACATTTTTCCGCAAGATTTTCCATTTGTATCTGGAAAATAATTTTTCTCTCAATTCACTACACAGAGAACTATACACAGAGAAAAAGTGGCAAGATTTCTGAAAACTAGGAAGTTTTGAAAAGCCGATATCTTAATCAACCAAAAACTGTACTTACCACAGGTTTGTGTTGGGAAGTCAGTGAGTGCACTCGCACTTGCTCCAGTACAGTACACACACTAGCCACATCTTGCTTCAGTTCCTCAGAGTATCTCTGAATTAGGAGGGGTGGAATCTGGCATTCTCCTTGCTGTAAAATATAAGTACACAGAAAGTTGAATCTTATTCAAGTCAAATACAAGGAATATGTCAGAGTTACAGTTGGACTATACAAGCAAAATTCATAACCTCTCATTATCTTCAAGTTTTTCATCTATCCAACTAAGTTTAATTTTAAGAAATGTTTATCAGATACCGTATTATAATATGTTGTTAATAAGGACAAATTAAATAATAATGACAAATTAAATTCAATAGCACATTTTTGTATTCTAAGTCTATAATTAGTGTATGGCATAATCAAAGACATTTTACCTTTGTAGAATATGGCTCTTGTGAGAGGTTGATATTCTCATCATCTAGCTTAGCTGTAATGAGTGACACTAAAGATTTCTTGACATTTCTGAAGTCTATGGGAGATGACACCGGTCTGGAAATGTCTACAGAATGTGGTCCATTTTTTGGCACTTGTTTATCACTATATTGCACTTGTCCCTCTTGATTTGATATGGCACCTTGGGAAGATGTTCTTCCCTGAAGTTCTCCAGTGGGAGTGGAGTCTGATGAACCCCCTATGGATTCCCTTTGTCTCTGAACACATTCTTGTCTTGATTGATTCTGGCCTCCCTCAGGAAACACAGAGAGGGGCCCAAAAGGGCACATTACTTGAACATGTGCATCCTTCTTTGAATTTCTGGACTTTGTAACAACCTTGTTTGGAAATGGTTTTGATCTTTCACAGTCAGTAGCACCATATGAATGTCCATTCACCTGATTGGTAAACTTGGAGCACCTTGCCTCAGAATCACATGAAGAAGAAGTCTGCGTACCAACATTTGAACACATGACAACAATGAAGTCCCCAAATACAGAATTCTCTTCAGCACTTGGAGTCACATGTTCCCCAGGGTGAACACATGAGGGGTCACTTCTCCGTACCATATGATTGATCTCACAAACCTCCCTGTCCTCCTCTGTGAAGTCTCTGTCACTTCGTTCCATATCTGAGGTCTGACTCTCCCCTCCACAGTTCTCCACACTGGTCCTTCCACTGCTAGCACTCCCTCTTCCACTGCTGTTGGCCTGCCGACTGCAGACGTACCGAATCTCCCCCACCGTCCGGTTCTGGTTCACTGGCTGAAGATTCTCTTTGTTGTATTGTAGAGGAGACACACGACTGGTCTGGTTCTTTGCAGATATCATGTAACCTTGCTTGTTGAAAACCTCCTTGTGACCTAGATGCTCCCAGCTGCCATAGCAACCTGAGTCCCTACTTCCTGGGCATGTGCGGTGATGGCAATCACTGAAGGTCATTAGCCGAGGAGAGTAACAGTATAAGGTTGCTTGATTAGACAAACCATTATGGCTCCCTACCTCTGGAAATTCATCATCTGCAAGAAACTTTATATTAATTTCTTTCCATTACAAGTATTATTTGCTAAATAATATAAGTGCATCTTGATATTGGTCATTTCAGTTAATTTCATCCCAATTTCTGATTTAATGCCATCAAATTTACAAATTCTGAGTGGACACTACTATAATCTTAGCAGCTAGAACTCTGATTAAAAACTTACCTTCAGCACTACATAGGAGTTCAGCTGCTGTTAAAAGTTTCGCCCTCTGCTGGGGGTCCCTGATGCCAAGTGCATCAAGGTCACTCTCATTTAAGTCGGCAAAACTTTCCAGGTGCTCAAAACCATTTTCAAGAAAGACTTTTTCTAGACTCTGGAAGAGATTTAAACCCACTTCTATAATATATCAACTGAGTTTTACTATATAACATTGGACATTGGATAAGTAAAGTTTGTGTAGTATACCTCAAATGATTTTAATAAATAGTGTATGTAGTCCAACAAACCTCTAATCCTAGTCTATATAGAAGCTCTTCCACTGTTCTGGGTTTAGCTTTCCTCGGAGTCCTCCGTGGGTTTGGTGTTCTTCTTTGGCTTCCTTCACTGGCACTATGACTACAGGCTTCAGTATATGAGGGCCTAAACCAACCCGTCTTCCCACTTAGTACACCTTTCCAGAGGCCCCCTGCTGTCTTTGTGGCAACCCAGATAATGTCTCCTTTCTACAAATCAATAATGGCTCTTTATTTTTAAAATTTTCACCAAATATGCAACATCTCTGTTATTTTTTTTCATCGGTTTTTCTTTTATAGCAGTACTTTTGAAGTAAGAAATAAACATATCATAATGCTTCATTACCCAGTGAACCATTTATCTTTACCTTATACCAGATATATAGGGTATAGACACATAATTGTGTTTCAAACTAAGTTTTAAACAAAATTCACCAAGAAATTTGCAAATTACAGGCAAATGAAAAATAGTGTTGAAGAACAGTTTTGACAGCATTTAATCAATTTTTCTTTTATTTTAATGAACACAAACCTTGATATGCAGCATGTCCACTTCCGTCTTGGACGGTGTGTAATCGGTATGGACCCTAACTAGGGAGGAGGAAGTGTTGTCAAGGTTACCAGCCATTCCTTCTGCCTCCATTGAAGAACCACTTTTCCCGCTTCCTGGACTAGCACTGTGTGTGGCTGTAGATAAAAATTCATTTTGTAATGATATACAAACTTTTAAACATGAAAAAGTAATTTTCACATCATAGATATCAAGTTTTACACTGATTTATTATTTTCGCTTTCTTTCTTCTGATTTTATGACTAACATTTTAGGGTTTTCCTGACATGATTTTGATTACCTACTGATAGCCAAGTAAATCTACCTACACATATTTCCCGATCCTCCACTTTGCGAGCTTTCGACAGAGCTCACAGATTTATTGGTCCCTGATTGGTTACGCACCTGCAAGTCAAAAATAACCATAATTAATTTTTCTACACTTAATATTTGCATCAACTTTGGTGCATGTAGAAATGATTTATTGACATAAAACTGTGAAATTCATCCTCTTAAATGCTTTGATGCCCAATAATCATTAAGCAAATTTAGAAACAATTATTGACGTTAAACGGAAAGGGAGGTAACTTGACCCCCTTCATTAAGATTGTCAAGTTTTTGTTACAAGAAATCTGATATCGGTACATTTCTACTGAACATGCAGGTGTGAAATTTAATCCAATTAATCAATATCTTGAGCCTTCTTTTAAGCTTGACAACAAGTGTCTTGTTGCTGTCCTTTTTTTGTATGCCTGTTCCTTTATTTCCCTTGTTTGAATGATAACTCGACAAGTTTTGCCATCTGTAAATAATGCCATTTTCCACATGATAAGCCCTGGTCAATTGTTGTGCCCTGACAACTTTATTAATACTTAAATCAATACAAGAACATCCTTTCTAATTGAATAAATCTACGTTCTCACTAGATCCTGCGTCTGACCCAACAATCGCATTACTTTACAATTCCTGTAAAACCACATTTCTTACTTCGGCCTATAATCTGATGATGAAAAAAAGTGGTGTATACGACAAAATCAATATTTTCTTCACAAAAAGTGAGAATAAATTGCCTGATTTTCACAAGCAGAAGGTATAAGGAAGACTGTCTAATCTTAGGAAATGAGGCAAATTACTGGTTTATGTCAAAGGACTGGAAAGGACCTAAGCTAGTGCAGTCATTATCTTAGGCACATTGAAATCTTTTGATACATGTATATGTGCTACACTTCTGAAAGATTCTACACATCTTCATGTATTTTATTTTTGAACAGCATAAAGAAGTACATGTACTTAAACGAAATTGTGGTGTTGTATAATTTCCTTATACTAAATGAAACTTTGGAAAAGGCCTAGCAATAATCTGCTCCGGTTTCCATAAAAGATATTAAAAAAAAAAAATAAAATTAGATATTGTTAACCATGTTTGCCATTTTTTCAAAAATGTTTCAAATTTGGAAAGAAAGCACGGAGATTCCATTGAGCCTTAGCATGATTTGGGGGTTAAATAATTATAGATGTTTATAAGTTTATAAATAATTCTGATTTCCGGGATGGCCATTTACTTTTGATCAATACACGGTATACTGCAAATGAAATCATTTACTATTTCAAAAAAAAAAGATCATTCTTTCTTATCTTGTTAGCAGCAACAAACATTGGCAGAACTGAATGTAAACATAACACTCAAATTCAAATCAAAATCACATCTGTGACATGAAAGGTTTTTCACAGTTTCCACTGGCAAATAGATCACATTGAAACTTAGACCTAAATTACCCATAAAAAGGGCAGAGAAACGTAAACATCGAGTGTCAGAGGTTCTCGGCAGTTTCTAAGAAAAGACAGACATTGAAATTCGAGCTTAGTGTTGACTTTTATCTCTAATGATGTGTATATTACATCTCTCATAAATATCTCAGGGTGAAGTCGCAGGATAGAACTGTCTGCGTCAATATTTATTTTACGTTACTTGGATTACATGTAGCACCAAGGTAGGGATACACTTGCGTAGAAGATCAGGGGTCTGCACTTTGAGTTAAAATATGAACTTCTCAATGTTCAGACAAGAAAGTGCATTATGCAATTATTGTATTGAAATGTGTAATTGTACAACTAGAAATAGAAAGATTAAGTGCACCAAGTTTCTCTCTCACTGAATAAAATTGTAAAAGCAGTGCTTGTGATGAGCAAAAATCTCTTCATCTGTCAAAACATTTGAAAAAATCTTGACAAGTTTGTTCCTTAATTGAAAGACAGCCTGAATAATTTACCTCAACATTTGTGCGTGAACAAATGAGTATGCTAAGACTCATCATTCTTTTCATAATAATCAAACCCAACATTTGTGTAAAAAATGAACATCTTTGACATTAATTTAGCTGTGTACTGTACTTTTTTACACAGTGCAATCAATCAGCTACAGGGTAGTCCTAAACACATGTTAATTTAAGACCAATGAAAAATTAAAAAAAAAAAAAAAAAAAAACTTTTGTACCTCAAGCCCTGACATGGTACAGATTCTCTGGCTAATTGAGACAGACACTGACACCCTCCCTTTCTTCCTTACGCTGAGAAACTCCAGTGTGATGGTTCATGATCCTAATGTATTATATATGAGACCAATGATTCAAAATCCTTTCATGCTATCAGCTAGCTAATGCAAACTGGGTCCCTTGTCGCTCTAAATTAGCACCCACTTCAAAGTTGTCAATTCTTAATTCCCAATTCTCATTTTTTGTCTACTTGCTGAAACTCAAAAATAGTAAAAACCATTTCTGAACAAGAAACTTTTGCACCCCCCCCCCCTTTTTCCTTGTTTAACTTTTCACAAAAACTGAGTCATTATTTCTGTTTTTGCAATGCTTGCATTGAAAAATTCTTATTTTATTTACTAAAAAACATCTTTAAAAACACATTTATTGATTTTTTTCTGTACTGGATTTCCGACTTAAATTCATTTTCTATTCCACAAAAAAAATCCCTTCTTTGCTTTGAAGTCATTAGTTTATTAGGTTCAATAAGCTATGCATCAGATCTATGAAGAGAAATTCTTATTTCCTTTATCTCTTTATGGTAGTTTTTTAGAATTTTACTGTTCCCCAATACGCTGAAGCCATAAAATATAATGAAGCTGACATGAATCTAAGAAAAAGGATTGCGGAGAATAACTGACTGAGATTATCAGAAATTGATCTTGACACTCAATTTCTGTAACTGACATCAAGGGAGAGTGAGATAAAGCCTTTTTTAAGGATGTTCACATCATGATTTCCAAAAACCAAACTATAGATATGTCCATAATATACCAGTACCCCCAAAGTATATAAAATCTAATACATTTTTCTTATACTGTACATGTACGGTACTTTTTTCCGCATGAGATTAATTTACGCTATGTGTGCGATCACAAATTTTCCGTGGAAATTTGTCCTAACATAATTTAAGTGCATCTAAGTCATACAATAGCAATCCAAGAGATCTGCGTAATTTTCTACCCGCAGATTGAACAAAAATTCCTTGGAATTACGACTCCGTGGAAACAAGTATGTTTATAGTATTCAAAAATGAATCTAAGAAACTGTCCCAAATAAAAAAAAAAACTTCTGAAGTGTAATATATATTTATAATTTAATTTTGGTTGTAAAGCGTCATTTGATTGGATAAAAAAATTAGAATATAGCGTATAACCTGGGTAGCCTACATCACAATGACTTACGTCAAAAAACGTATCAATCCGCTTGACGTTACATTTAAAATACGTACAATTTAAAGGCATTTTTGAAAGAGAAATTGTTTTATTTTTTACACTTAATGATGGGAAATTAAATTATAAGGAATGACTTTAATAGCTACCCAAGTTACACTGGAATAACCTGGGTTGGAACAGTTTACGCTTTTTTATAAACTGCTTCGCGGTTTATAAAGCGTAAACTGCCCCAACCCAGGTTATACCAGTATAACTTGGGTAGCTTTTAAAGTCATTCCTTAAATATTTGTAAACTAGGTTAATATATAATCATGTAATCTATTGAAATTATTTTGACTGTTCACTTATAAAAAATGACCGAGTTGAATGATTTTAACCTAATAACAAATTGATTCTATTCAGTGTCTGTAATCAAGAAAATTAGAAAAGCCTTTCTTCCTTCCATTATTTTCCTAAATCTTCCAATGAAAGGCTTTTTTTTACAACTGAAATGATTGCTCTCTAAATTATTAATGTTTGTTAGTCCTTAGCTCAGACAAAATAAATATAAATCGTGTTTTCCCCTCTAGGCACCGTCACCGTGCTCAGTATGAGGGAACAATAATAGAATGAAGATAGGAAGTAATATGCCTAGGAAATTAAAAATCGGATGCAATACCCAGAACTTATCTCTGATTCCTGACAGAAAAGACCTAAATATTTACTGTTCTTCTTTTATCAAGGCAAGATAAATCAAAATGACAGTGCCAATAAGCTTCCGGAGATAAATCTATCAAACCAATCGTCTGTGCTTTTCTCTCTCTTTTTTTTTTTTAATTTCTTGATTTGACACAAGAAGAATCAACAACTGAACTGCTAGTAAAACAAAGTCAGAAGTTCTTAGCCCTTTCTGGATCTGTACTGGCTGAAATAATTCGGATTGACAATTTCCTGAAATTACATTCTATGATGAATTCTATTTCCTCTTGGAAATATAATTAAATGGCTTCCCATAATTCCATCACTGTTGTCTCTCTCTTGATTTATCTTTTATGAGCTTGGGTTTATGTGGAAGATGTTTATCCGTAAAATAATATTTTGTAATGTTAGTAAGTGGACAGCCAAACAAAATATCAGCGAGCATCGACTTCAAAGGCATACGTACCATTCTCACCAATTATATGGCCCATGTACATAAACACCGTCAGTATATTTGTACAATTACATGTGATATCATAGACTATATTTTTCATCAACTACAGAGGAAATGCATCTTGCTCTGCCAGAGTTAAAATAAATCCTCTTTCAAATTAGACCTTTCCTTAAATATTGATTCTACAGAGAATTAAGACAGTGGAGGAGATTCTTTTGCATTTTTTTTCATCATGGCTACTTAAATTGACAACCATAAAGTGGTATTATGGTCAGCATCCACTGAAGGGATGCTCCGAGATGAATGCAGTGTAATATTATGATGTCAATTAGATCTGATAAAATATTCAGCTTGCTAGAGTTGAATGACTGGTTAATAGGATGAGGGCACTAGTTTAAATTCAAGAGGTCAACTTGGAAAGGTGACTTTGTCTGCAAGGATGTTCTGTCCATAACTACCATTTTTTTTTATCAGTAAAAAAACAAAAACATGAGGTCTGCAGGGAAGGCCAATTTTTCTCCCCAATCCCCTTTAAACATGAAAAAGATGAATCCCCATCTCCCAGAAAGTTTGGAGATATTTTGATTCGTAATCGTAAAGAGAATCTTGATTATACTATGGAATGTTAAAAAGGATACAGAAAGATGCCAAGATTTGTAAGAAGATCACTGGAAGAAAATCATGGCCAGGGCATATACCCAAGTAACCTCAAGACTAGAAATAATCTACAAAAATCTACCATTATCAGAATTTTCTGGAAATTTTGTCTTGTGGATCACAGAGTGTGGTCATCAATAATGTAGTACATTCCAGTAAATTCCCTGTAGACATGAGAGAAGCTGAGAATTTGATGATTAGCTAGTGTGTATCCCCTGCCTGACCAGACACAGCTGTAGGGGTCGTCTAAGGTCAGTAATCATGTGACAGAGGGGGCAGACAGCTGGATCTGCTGAGTTACGTCCAATGTAAATAGATAGATGTGATAGATGAGGGTTTCTAATCAACACAGACTGACATATCACAGACTGCTAAAACTACAAACCAAGCAATGTTACTAAGTTATAAATTGTATCTACACCAACATCAGGGTGCCCACATCATCAGATAGCAGTTTTAAACTTTTTATGGCCAACTTTTTATTTACTTGGATTAATAGGTGCATGCACACAAATTACACTGCTGTTTTAGTTTTTATACACTTTAACATATTTTATGGTCTCATATTTTATGCACATTACTTGTTGATAATGGATACATGTTAATCAAGAGTGTGAAAAAAAAAGACAGCTGTCATCTTCATCATTAAAACTTTGCAGCATGCGAAATTATGTTCAGATGTCTCTGCATGCACTCAATCTCATGTGTTTATAGACTAGATAGAAATATTTTAAATGACCCAAACCTATTTTTAACTATTTTTTAATTATCTCCCTTTCATAAGGGCCTCACCCCTTCATGTAAACAAGTCTGAATCCCCCCTGATTTTTGAAACTTGTTTAATGCTTCTGGAAGCTAAAAATGTGAAATGTTTAAGTTTCTGGGCATACATAAATAATCTTAAAGACAAGAAATTGAACCTAATGGATCACACACTTCTTTCATCAGGTGAGCTAAAAGCCCAAAGAATTTAAAAAAATATTTTTATAATGAATCTTTATGCTGATGGATTTGCCAAATAATGAATTTAACCTGGGAAGATTTATGAGAATTCTGCCTTTACTCAAACTTTATGTCCACATTTTGTGTACATTTTATTACAAAGTATAGATTTTTAAGTGAGTAAACCAGAAAATACCGTAAATTAATCATAGAGAAGACTCAGGTTTCACAGAATAAATCACATTAATTAGCAGGAATTATGTGAAATCAATTCATTTTATCACAAATTTCACACAGTGTAATTAAGGCCTGGCCCATCAAACCCAGTCACCTGGTATTATCATCCATTACAGAAGGTTTTACACATAGCAGCTTTTTTTCAAATTATTCTGAAATCTGTATTTTATGTCTAAAATGATACAATCTCACTGTATAGCTCAAGTTCTACTCGTGTAGAAAAGCATCTCTAGTGATTGCATTTTTTTTTTTGCAAGATACGTAATAATTCCTTTTTTCCTTACAGTCATATATTAGATATTCTAGGGTGTAATTTTGTTATTTTTTTATATAAGTATTTTTGTTTTCTTATACCTTTTGCATTTTCATTGGATCTCCTCCCTCAGAGTTTTTCCGCCAACCAATGGCTGGTGAACTGTCTGATCCTGTTGACATGGCACTGGAGTAGGTGCTATAATTCCAGTTGTCTCCCCTTGTTGCTGAAAGCTCACCAGGTGTCAGGACATGAGTCTGGCACTCCATAGAATGCTCAGACTCCATGGAAAAATTAGACATGGCAGATGGAGATTCATGGAAGGAGCTATGGTGACCGTTACCATGGTAAAAGTTCCCATGCTGACCATAACAGAGACTGCCTGTATGATACATTTTGCCATCATGAGGAAAGACTGGCGAATACAGACGTGGGTGACCAGGTGAGTAAAATGTCACAGGTGAGTGAACTTCCGACGGGCCGTAGAACCCACGAGTTGGGGTACAGGACATGGCACGAGCCGCCTCTGGTGATTTTGTAGAGGGAGTGAACTCAATATGACTGACACTGTGGACGCGACGGTGTTGGTAACACTCGAAACGGTGACTAGGATCATTGCAGAAGTTCGGAGAGGATTTCGTCGGATCATTTGACAGAAATCGCTGACACACCTGACATCTAGTTGTAATGTCTGTATCAAAAGAAATAATCACTAATCAGGAAATAATTATTAAAGAAAAAGATCAAATTATCATCCGTTTGTATTTCAGCATTCAATCATCTTTTATTTTTCAATCTGATGATCCTACTGGCATTGTATATTTGAATCAATCAAGTCTATTATTTCCTACAGACATATCAATTTAAAAAGCTTTCATGGAATAATAAGAGACAATAAAATTACGTAATTTCTCTCTTATTAACTTCACTTTTTTTCCCAATCAGTCTATACTAGCGATACATCAAACATCTGAGGTTCATTATTGCGTTTAATTCTACATCTTTGAACTTTAGTAGGTTTATTGATTGTTTCACACAACAAAAATAATATTGCATGATCCCCAGATCCCAAACTTGAATCAGCTTTGTTGTTGATTGCGTTACCATGGTAAGTTGCCGAGGGTGATTTAACAGGTTTGCCTCCTTGCTTTTTCTTCTTCTGGGCCCCTTTATGGTTTCCCTGGGAAAGAAATGAAAAAAAAAAAACATCTAAATCTAAAACCTCTCTGTGAATCAATGCAGCTATGATGCTGTTGCATCAAGTAATTAATGCCTAATCATTTGAATCTTTACGATCTTTTTATGGTTCACCCAGGGCAGGAAAAAGAGTAGAAATAAACATTTTTTATTGCTTCATCAGACAGAAAACATGAAAAGTGCTGCCTTCCTCTTCTTATACAAATTTGATAGCTGTTCAATTTTTTTCATATCATTCACATGTCTTCATTGTTAATCACTGAATGAATACATAAAACTGCATGCCCTAGTTGTTGATAAATTGAAATAAGCCATTATACCATGAACTTGATATTTTAAATGTTTTCCAGTAAAAGTGCCAAAACTACAGATTTCAATTCCAGTTCAGCTGGTTTTAAGACTACAGTGTCATTAACTCAGATTTTAATGTTCTTGTTATTGTTTTGTCCAATGGATCAATTTTCAGAGCAGGGAGATGATTCAAATTCCATACAGGCCAAATATCAATTCCCCTACAATCCATTATTCCAACATCATATATTGTATTAAATTTCTTCTTATACAAACAAAATTTTATGCACCGAGTATTTATTTTTTAAATTTTTTTTTATACGAGTAATAGTAACTTAATTTTTCCATTCCCCTTTGATCCACCAACCTACTGAAATAAACACTTCAAAGTGGCAGAAGACATTACACTTGGCATCAAGTGTCTCCTACATGCTTTGTAGACTCCATGACAAAATGCCAGGCAGCCATCAAAGATATCCCATCTCAAGATAGACATCAAACATGCAACAAATCCAGATTATATCCATATCACAACAACTGAAACTCTAGCCATTTTCTTAACAAATGACATTCCTGCTCATCTTTATTACACAAAGTAAAAGGGGTTTCTGACAGGGTCATTTTTCTCTTGGCTTCTTAAGGAAAGGATATGGTGACTATTTCATATTGAAATAATTTATTGTGCTATGTGGACCTGCCCAGTGATGTAAATATTAAACATTTTGGGCAGAGGACCTTAACAAATCTCCCAAAAATTCGTTAAAGGCTGCACTTCCTATGACAGTGTGCAAAGTTCTCAAAATATGACACATGCACCAGCATGTCTCGGTAACATATCCTTTGTAGTACTGATGTCAAGCTGTACTCTACACCAGACAACTTATCAACAAGCATGCTGTGCTCTTCCCTCTAAACTCTGCCACCCCCTTAATACCAGAGTATTTATCATCATCAATTATCAATTTATCTCTCACCTTCATTTTATATCAGAGGTATACATGACTTCTTATTACAGTTGAAGTCTCTTATCATTTTTTTATCCAGTTATCAGAGTATAGAAAGGTAAATGACACACAATGACTATGAGAATAAGACTGCTAGAGAATTACTGTTTGGTGTGCATTTTATATCACATTAGTACTTTTTAATACTCCAGCACAAATTTGGATGTACTCAGTAACTAGCTATAGGTGTAGTGACATGAATAAAACTTAAAAACCAGCTGTGATCTTAGAAAACACTACAGTACCAAGGAATCAAAAGATTCATAAACACCAAGATGTGAACTGCAATCAGTCATTCTATCAAAAATTGATATCAGAAGGAGTAATGTCCCTTTATCTTGGTTATCTCCCTTCATGTTCAGTGATCTCCCCTTGTTTACAATGTTGTGTGTTGTTTTTTGTAATGAAGCTTCCCTTGTACACACCTGTTGTTGTTGCCATTCCCGGCGCCTCTCCTCTTCGTACTGTTTTACCTACCAGTACAAAAAAAATATTAAGAAAATAAACTTAAAGTAATACCAGAACATCTGCTGTTAGTTTGAGAATGAGGGATGGAACATTGCATTGTTTGAAAAAATTGTGATGTTAAATCAGTCAAGAAAGTGGTACAAAAAAGAAAAAAGAATTTTCTACCAAGTCTTCATGACATGGTGATACCCAAACCTTTATCATTCTGTAAAACTTCCCTAGAATATCCTTGACATTTTAATTAAAAGTAAGACTTTTCAACATTTTTTATGCAATAGATTCTAGATTCTACATGGCACACCTAATACACATTTGTTTTGCTGATATGTACCTTTGATGTAATTAATATGTTAAATACCCCTATAAATGACAAAAAAATCCACACATTAAGACATTAAAGAACCCTATACAGACCAACAATGATCCCTTCCTTAGTGACAAATGATCTGGATTCATTGCCATCTTTGATGGCGACATAATTCTTCAATTATTTGTTCAACTTTTAGGTATTATATTTTTTTTTTTACCTATAGCAGGTGTGTTATTTACATTTTAACATTGGATTTTTTTTTCGTTGACATTTACTTACCATTAGTTAATAAACAACAGACATCAATTATATTAAAGATTTAAATCTCAAATAATTACGTACTTTTTTTTTTTTTACTGAATAATTTTTTGATAATTAGCATTTCCTACTCATATAGCATTATTTTTTTTTATTCTTATGAAAAATGACTTCCCCAGTTACATAAATTAATGAAAGTAATCAACTCCAGTGTGTCAAACAACTTTAATTCAGAAGGGACATCAGATTTTGAATATACCGGCCGGTACATGTATTTGCTTCTGTATTTTACCCTCCCAATTATTTTGTCCAAATAGTTCCTCTCCCTGTTCCTTGATCACTAAGTAAGCATTTACACATGCCCCCGACAGCAGGTGTCGAAATTTTTTTTTTTTTAATTTTGTCATCACCCAGGGCACCTTCTGTTTGTAAATAGTGAAAAATCATTCCTTATCTAAGATACCGTATGTACTTAAAATCTACCTGTATACCTGTTCATCTAGAATATAATATACACTTTATATAAATAAGACAATTAGAGTCTTTCTTGTGTATGTTTCCAAGTAAATTCTATTTTTTCCAATCCCTGTGGTATTTGCATAAGGGATAAGCAGGTATTCTTCTTTAATTCAATATTGGTACAGTATCATGGTCAGTATATAAATAGTGGCATGATCATGCCGATTTTCACAAAGGGCACCTGCTCTTAATCCCCTCTAAATCGGAGGTCTGATAATTCATGGTCTGAATCAGACAACTAAGTCACAGGGTTCAGTTATGACTACACCTTTTCTCAAATCTTTCATCAAATTAAACCACACATACATGTAGGTATGCTTGTGGTTTTATCAATCAGAAAAATAACAACAGTGAAATTACCTTCAATGAAGTAGACTGTCTGGGAACTTCTCACAATGTGTATTCAATAATTTTTGTGGTTGTAAAGCCATAGACAAGGTACTTCGAATGTTGCAAGCCAAAAAACTTACACAATATCATTTTGAAATGCTATTTATGTATCGGACTTGAATTTGCATGTTCATAGATTTTTTTTTCCCAAAGAAATAATGAACAGAAAGACAAGAGGAGATGGATCAACTTTTTTTTCTTCAAATTTGAAGTAATGAAAGTTATGCAGCACAATTAAAAACTACTCAGACTTTTCTTACTTTTTTCCCAATCAAAGACAAACCTAGACATGCAGTGAGAAAAACAAAACAAAAACAAAAGTTCACATCCTTAGCATAAAGAAATCCTGAACATTTTTTAAGGTTAAATGAATAACTCTGCGTTAACATGAATGTGGGGGGTGAAAAAAAAAAACAAAAACAGGATATTGAGGTCCTAAGTGCTGAGCCATTCATCAAAATGTTTAGACCAAATCAAAAGAAGTCATGACTTGGTTTATATTTAGACAGGAAGGAAGCTTAATTAATTTATCCTATCATTCTTAGTCCATAAATTCTTCTATTTCTTCTATTACCAATCCCTGGAACTCTTAAAAGCATGCTGTCTTACGCATCACAAGAAAAACCTGCATTCTTCATTACTAACAAGCACAGGTGCTACAAGATGTTGCAAACTTCTTATCTTAGTTTCATATGCTTTCACTCAAATTTTTTACTTTTTGTTGTCGAAAGTATGGAAATAAATAAAATTTCAACAAATTTCACAAGATATCTTCTTTTACCATGCATGAAATCATGATTGACTTGTTTGACCTTGCAAAACATAGGCTTAAAAAAAATCATTACAAAAAAGATTAATCCTAATGAAAAAATAGTAAAAGTCTATACACATTATACAAAATTAATATAAAACTCTCTGGAAAACTTCTTATAGATACAAATCTTGACAGTGTGCATTTAAGATCCTTGGAAAAATATAACAAAATGAGAAAATAATCAGTTTTGACAGATAAGTTTGCATGATGCTCTAAGATAACAGATAATGATTAACTCACTAGAGTAACAAATGAAAATTATTTCTGACATGATTATGGATCTGACATTCAACAGACATTACCAAGAAATGTAAATTTTAAGGGTAAATAATTGTATAGAATATGAATGTAACATTTCTCTCCTCTGCTATTTAAATGCTACTTTAATTGTCTAATTAACTCTGTATGTACATGTTTAAGTAAAATTTTGATTAAAAATCCATATTGCATACATATATTTATGAATACAAAAATTTCCTTCCACTATTTAAGAAAATGTTTAATCAGTTTCATCTTTTTCCCTCTCTGAAACAACTCGTGACCACTAGATGTATTTCAACCATTTATTACTAAGCAAATTTACAACACACAAATTGTTAGTATCTAAATAACAAAAATGATACAAAACATATGGGTGCCACTGAGGAGGAGAATGCCATTCCTACAGTGAACTATCGAGCAAAAAACACAAAAAATCTGAGAGAAGAAAATAGGGGGCAACAATAAAACCTAGAAACAAATGGCTGCATAGCAAGACATAAAGAGGGTTAAGTCGGATCGGGCCATTTTACCAGTGTAACACTTGTTTTTGCACATTTTTTTTATGTAGTACAAGTGTTTAATGTCAAGATATGCTAAGGTTTGATGTGGAATCAGACAGGACATAAAGAATTTAAACATTTCTAATGGGAAAAGTTCTTCAAGTTTTAATATCATTGCACATCTTTTCTTGTAAGGAATTTTTATAATTACCTTTTTTTCCTCCCACTTCAAATACAAAGGACTTAAAAAACATTATTACTTGGACCAATTTAATTCATTTCCCACAAAAAATGAATGTCAAGAGTGTATATAGTTATCAGACATTTACCCTACCATTGTTTACATCCTGTAGACAACATTTTTCAAAATAACATATTAGCAACATGTCACATAATATCATAACACATCCCTCAAGGCCAGTTTTTCCCCCATTCATAAACCACAGCTGACACAATTTCCATTATTAACAACTGGCAAGGAATAATGGCTCCCTTTTGAAAAAGAGTCTGTTGACTTTCTTTGTTCCTTTTTTTAAAATACAGAATGTAATTGTTTATTTCAAAAAGGCAGGAAACACTTAAATTTAATTAATATTTGGATTCGGTGTTCAACATCAAACAACTAAACTCAAAGTAGACCTGATTAGATTGGCAGAACATGTGACACCAGTCTTTATAACTCCCAGGAGGCCAGTTGTTTGTTATGACTTTATGTTTTATTAAAAGAAAAACCTAACTCTTTATTTTATTTTTTTTACTTCAGATAATGAAAAAGTTTCATTTAAACTTTCTATTATTATCTGTACTCTTCTTTGGTTTTGATTTGCTCTTTTTTTTTCCCAGGACACAAGAGTCAATATATGTTTGTACTAATTCAAAAGATTTTGATATCATGTCAAATGTAGTTATATATGGAAATCCTTTAATTCCCACACCCCACATTTATAGAACTTAGAAAATCATCTCAATCCAAACAAGGCTGTCTGCCAATACCCTGATGAGAATTCTCCAATTCTTAATCCCACAAACACTTTGAGTAATCTATGGTCTGCCAGGATTTATGTACTCGGCATTATTAACGGACACCGAGTCTGAATCTCGATCTCAGGGTCCCTTCCAGAGTAAATGACATTTCTATTTTTTGACGGAGTTCACTTTGTCTGATTTATGTACTAAATGTTACCGAGGGTGACACATGACTCAGAATTTCCAGTAGACTAATGTCTGGATTTTTTATTGTCTACTTCAAGCTTCTGAACATTTAATGCCCTCAACCTCAACTCACAGCTGTTTCAAAAACATTCGTCTTTTATTCTGTATCTTTCTTGTTTATGTATCTTCATTTCTTTGTCAACACTCTCATAACTCAAAAAGATTCCATTTGAAGACAAGGGTTATATTGACAACTTATAGTATCCCAAGAGAAAAGCAATCTGTTGCTACAATGATAAATTTTATACCCTCCTTATAAAATCCAAAAATGTGTGCATTAAATGTTTTCCTTTCTGGTGTCATGTTTCAATCAAGAGACAGAAAAATGTATTAGTCAGCATTCATATAGACCTTTTTCTTCACTTAGGGTGAAGAAGCCAAATTGAGATAGAGAAATATATAGTTTCCAAGGAATATTGCAGCCTTTTAACTGAATCAACAATGAACCAAAGTCTGACTCTTAATTTACAACACAGTCAGAGTAACTAAAGTTGGGGGGGGGGGGGGGGGGTGTTTACAATAAATGCATAGCATAAAATGTGTGTGCGTGTTGTTGTTTTTTAAATAACAACTGTAGTTAGTGGTACAATGTGTCAATGATTTAAAGACATAAAATTATGTAAAATCTGATTTAAAAATATTTGAAAAATTAAAAATTGCAACTAAAAGTCAAATTAAAATTTGCAATAGAAATATAAATAGAGGAAGCAGAGTTCTAAATGTTCATGAAATGTTAATGTAAATACAAAGTGGTTTCATGTTAATTTCACAACAATTGGATTGCTGCAGACACTGGAGAAGAAAATCATATGGTAAAAACTCACCATGGCCATGGCCTGTTCTGTTGTCAAAGTTCCATCTTTAACCATGATCATCAATGCCTTCCTGTCTTCATCACTCATGGTCATATCTGTAGCACATAAATCTCCTGTAATTAACAGATTAACTGGATTATAAGTTTATCAGCAATAAAATTTCAGCTCACCATTTATCTTCTCATTTCAGCCAGAGCTCATAAATTCTAAAATACAGTTACATTTATGGCTTTTACTATTCATCTAACTTTTATTTCCCACACTTCTTGTAAACATTATGAGGACTCTAAAGTCTTTAATGTTTGGAGTATAGGAAAATTTATGTTGAATTCTTTCAGCAAAAGTGTTTAAAAGTCTATAAGGATAATCAAAATACTGGTATTACCATCATGAGGTTTATACTGGTTTTTCTTCCCTGATCGCCTGATGCCCATATTCCTAAAAAATCTCCCCAGAGATGAAGTTTTCTTTATCTTGTCTCCCTCTTGCCCATCTGAAATGACATTAGAATTAATCATTATCTACAAGTGTCTTCAGTCTTAGTTTTATTTGCACAAGTTCTCCTATTTACATTTGATCAAATTTCTATTTTTTTTCTTTTTTGAAAGACTGACATTAAAACTTTGCTTTACTTCAAATAAGCAACAGAAGTACTATAGGGATAAAAGGAAATCTCAGCCTCAAAATTTGTCACTAAAAATAAAAAGAAACTTGAAAAACATGATCTTAATGAAGAAAATTTCACTTCTTTTGAATGATTAATATCAAGCTCTTCCAAATTAAAGCTCTCTAAAGACATGAAAAGTCAACACTTTCAGAAAAGCAAGAAGCAGAATTAAAGAGTAATTTAAGTCCTCAGAATACCCAATCAAACACTCTCCTCTGTCAACTGTTGCTAGAAAATCAAATAGACAATGCTAAAACTGTAGTTAGAACCTGTCAAGAACTGATTGTCCACACATCCCAGGGTTCTGTTTAAAGGAGCTACATTAAGTTTAACTGGATTAAATGTTACATTAAAACGTAACCTTAACAGCTCCTGAGGAGTGGAGGGTGTTTGAATGGTGAAAACGTGCGACATATATCAGAGTTAGCTACAAGATAAACAAGTATCATATTGTCACTCTCGGTGGAAGCTGTCAACCTGTCGTAATGTAAAAGCATTCACTGTGATAATTCTGAAAGGCTGTAGTAACTAATTAGTCACATCTAAATAACTCCAGTATCTCTTAATGGTATAGTCAACAGTTTTATTCTAGTTTTACACAACATTTCAACACTTGATGCAAGCAGAACAGTCAAACTTTGCAGTACATTTGATGAAAGAAGGCATATTTCTGTAATTAAAAGTTCTACTCTCTGAAAGATTATGGAATAAAATTTTGCTAAAGGCACATGCAAATAGAAGAAATATTAGTATTTGCTGCTATTACATGTAATATGTATATATGTGTGTATACAATTTTACACAGTCAAACTTTAAATTTAGAAACATAGGAAATTTAATACTGGTAGTTCTTAAGTTATGCTTTATTAAAATTGGTTAAAAATTGTCAAAATTGCATGACAAATAGACATTATCTACAAATATTTTTATTACTACAAGTTTTCATCAATAAAAACATGAAAAGGTTGACTGTAAAATATATGATATCTTCATCCAGTAAAAAAGAAATACAGGCATTAATAATAAAAGTGTATTTCCATTAATACATTCATAGACTACATGCAAAGTAATAGAATATTTATTTCACTTAGAAGTTGCAAGTTATCTAATCTAGGCGAGCAAGATCATAAACCATGCATTAATCTACCTCTACTTGATGTTATTGGTATACAACAAAAACCTGTTGAGGAAAAAAAATTTATCATGTCACCATAGAAGTTACAAAAATTGAACTTAAATTTAAAAAAAAAGAAGAAAAGAAATACATACATCTACATGCAATGTGAAAACATACAAACTTTCACCAATTAAATACAGCTGTGTTTAAGAATAGAGCAACATTCATGATTGAAAATTATATATTAAATGTCTTCTTTTTAAAAAAAAAAAATTAAAAAAAGAAAGAAAAAAAAAAGATATATTAGTAATGAAATTAATATGAAAGGCATATATCACAAGGTATTAAAAAGAATCCTGCTTTTGTCAAATTCAACAAGTCACTTATTTTCTTGTACCATTTAATAAAAGACAATTCAAAGGTCATATCCTGAACATATTCTTCATTTGAGACATTTGATATTATCAGATTCTTAATAATGTAGGTGTCTGCAAATCTACTGGGTCATAGTGAGAATTGTAATGACTGTATATGACCTTTTTTTGGTAATGGATAAGAGGGTTTTTCACTATAATCATATAAGGAATCAACAGGTTTCACTGTACTTATATAAGCCACCAAATAGTAGCATGATCATATTTACTTCTATGCAATTCAGCTATCTATGAATCTTTTGGCAGACTTTTTTTCAAAATCTGCAGAGACAAACAAAGAAAAAAAATACTGTTTTAATATTCTACACCACATAATTCTTATAAAGAAATGGTGTACATGAATCTCCTCCTATACAAACTCCTACAGGGAGACAGTTTTGGCATCATGACTGTACTGGTATTATTGGGTCTATAGCCTTCCATGTTCCCAATTAGATGGCCATTGATTTCTGGACTGCTTGTTCCATGGAGGGTAACATAGTGACCACACTCTGTTAGTAAAGCTGACAGTTAATCAGCCTGGGCTGGGAGAGTATCAGAATTTCTCATGTTTCATGTGTCTACTGCTACAGAAGACTCATTTCCCATGACAAAAGTCTCTGTATCCTAACTCATAACGTACAGAAATGAAAAATCATAGAAATGTTGGATTTTACACATAATGTTTTGAAACACAGGGTTGAATCGATAAGGAACAGTTTCTCTCAATCAAATAGAAATTCCCCCCACATTTGAAGACTGGCATCTCCTAAAAATGTTCAAATGAACAAAATTGCTATAAAGATCTATAATGTTCTTAACATTAGACATGTTAAAGACCACAAATTCTTAGAAAGAATTTGTCTGTCACATATGAAATTTGTAAGAAACACCATATAATTTGTTGGATATATACACGATAAAGAGAATACCTAATGAATTCGAAAATGCAAAGCGTTGGTCTTTAGAGTCATGAAATCTTATCAGTGCGACTAACCTATTGATTTACTTTTAGTCTATATTTGGTTTCCATGGCAATCAACTAACCTGTTCAAAATAAAACAATGCTTTTTACCAAAACACTTGACAGTGAAGTACCCAGGAAGCCGTATCTTATACTCATATGTGACAGACAAAACAAACAATGGCCTGAGAACTTTTTATTGCTGAAGTCACTTTGAGACTCTAAAACAAATAAGAATCAAGATTTCAGAAAAAAAGATGAAGGAACAGTCTCCCAAAATGAAGTGTTTGGTTAAACAGAGAAGGTCCTCCAAACAAGTGGAGATGTATTGATCTAAAGGCTGTTTTTGCCATTCAACAGTTTTGTTAGACAGATGGAGAGAGAAGAGGGGGCACTTGTTTATTAAAAATTCTGTATCAATATTATTTCTGGAGTAAATGGATGGAAGTGTCTGAGACTGGCTAAAGGCAGACAGGGGCCGACACACTCTTAGTTCTTTATCAGAACTTCATCCTAACAACACACGTTCAATGGCGTTACATTATCTCGATATTGTATGTTGAGTATTCTACAACGTATCCTACGGCACACCACTAAACATCTATGATATTATGGTAGTCCATTCATTTTCCCAATCATTAGCATGCTATTTAGAGAACTTATGGATGAAAAAACTGATTAGCAAAAAACATCACTTCCTCTTCACACAACAGATAAAGTGGCCTTCAAGAGCAGTTAAAGGCATACAACTTACAAGGATCCATAAATTATTGATCTAATGAAAACTCTAGAGGTCTTTTTTTTTGGCTCCCTTTATATGATGGAGATTTATTTGCATTTTTTTGGAGAATGTATTATTTAATTCTTTTGGTCTTTTATGCAAGGAACCATCAAATAATGAACATGTATAGATTCAAACCTAATGCTCTATACATGAGAACAAACCTAAGAAGAATGTTACTGGCAATCATAATAATGATTATTTGCAATTTTGAAACAGGATAGTCCATTTTTATGAGATTACAAGTATAACAATGACAAATTAGAATCCATCATTTTCATTAAAATTTTCCATAACATGCTTCTATTTGAAATGTTGGAAGACAAAAGATACATTGGGTTCTAAATGAGAGAATTTTCAAGCTATTGATAATTTGTGAAAAAATTTAATGTTCTCGTGACAAAACTTGCCTTTAATATTGGAGGAGAAAGAATCTTTAATAACTTGTATAACCAATTAATTCTACACTGTAGCATGCAAGCTGTCTTAAAATCAATAATAGATCATACAAAAAAAAATCTGTTAATCTTGCCATGAATTCCTTTTTCTGTTTGATTTACAATTGCCAATTTTCATACACTAACAAGAATTCGGACAAATTTTGGTTTAAATTCATTTTATCGATTCATAAAGCTTTAATTAATGCTAATAATGTACTGCGTCACTTCACAGCATACAGAAATCATTTCAGGCCCTTCAAAGTTCTAGCTACACTGAAAGATAAGTTAGGATTTTCTTTTACATTTCTTTACACTTTAAAGTACAATATATCTTCAAACTTTATTGCCATGAATTCCGAAGCCTTTCAATTGACTTAATAGTGGTATTTTAGGACTTTCTAATGCATAGAAGTGGTGTATCAGCTAACATTTATCATAAGGTATTGCAAAAATGCAAAATCTTTGATCATTAAAAAAGCAATAAACTTCTTTCTTTGTTTTTCTTCCAGGCAGGGGGAGAGATGTAATGTCGGACAATTATGGAAAGTGGCATCAACCAAAAAAGAAACATGCAACAGTTGCCGAGGATGAAACATTAATTATCCCAACCCAACTGCACATCTAAAAACAGGTTATAAGGTACTGGTACCTTAAGACTTTTCTGCAACAACTGCATGCATATTTTGAGAATCTCTCACAACAGGCATTTTTAAGAAGCTGTGATTAATTAAAAAATCTGGTTAAGTATTGACTTACCAGAACCAACAGTCATGTAGTTAGACTGGTACAAATTGGTGTCTTGCCTGAAAGAAAAACAGCAAAAATTAAAATTTTTTCAAAAACTTCAATTAAGACAAGTATAAGACTAAATGTTAGCTTGTCTTAATCAATAACAAATGAATAAAAAAACAACAATCCCAAACCCCCTCCCCTCAACCTCAATAACTTACAAAACCAATGAAAGGAGATAAAATGGACAAGAAAATAGCAATAAACACTCATTAAAACTCATCTGAACAGTAAAACTACATAGGTTAAATAAAGTCATTCTTTATTTTTGTCTTGTTTAAAAAGTATGATGATCATGTGTAAGATGCTGCAGATATTATTTTCTTTTGAGTCAACTCTCAATTTGAAATAGAGGTGAATAGATGTCCATGGCCTACAATCTATGAGGAAATTTTTTGCTACTGCTGGCATCCTTATTTGCATTTTGCCTCCATTGGGAATAATAAAAGACTCTGAGTTTGACAGCCAAACAGTTTTATCTATGGCTCCTGGTATCATTAAACTATGACAGAAATCACACACAACAATAAAACAACTATAAATCCACCCCTATCTGTCCCAACAATCACATCCCAAAACTGCTCCCCCTTTTACAAAGGCAAAATCTCTACTGTATCATAAATTTTCTTTTACATTCAAATTATTCCCTTTTTTATGAACCCAGATCAACTTTTTTGTTGGGAATCAATAGTGATAGGTGATCCAGCAGAACACAAATGATTAATTAATTGCACTATGATGTCATTTCAATTTTTGCCATCATTGGTAGCTTACTTCCATGGCAACAGCCAATCAGAGCCCTTGCCCTCCTGAAATGGCCTGCAGCCAGGGTCAGATGCTGATAAGGTCATTGCCAGGCAGATGGAATCAAGGATCTGAGGAGACATCTTTGACAGATATACTTGACAGCTGACATCAAATATTCATGGACTTCCTAGCAGATAATCTGTCACCCTCCACAAATTTACACCCCAGCTCTGATTTACACATGTTCCTATGGTCTTAATGTATTTTTCAGCATCAGAGAAAAAATAAATTCTCTTTTATCTGCTATGGTGAAAAAGCAAATAAAGGTATTCAACCATTATTAGAATACACCACACCACCTGCACACATAAAATGTGTTCCTCAAATATTTACGTGAATACTGACATATTTATTCACAAATTTTTACTGCGAATCAACTGTTTTTCCTTTTTTAGTTTACCCATTTACACAATTTCTTTACTCCACCATCTGGACATATTTCAGAGTATGCAAACAATCAGTTGTCTACCTCCCATAATCTCTATTGTCCATTAATTTGGGTACCTGCAATTAGTGACTCAGAGCGAAGTTTACAGATGACTTTTAAAGCTGAAACAAGTGTGTGTGCATGTCATCCCTAAGTGGATTATAGAACTGTACAAACCACTCAGTGACCAGTGGTCCAAACCATCAAACAAAGCAATAAGGTAACAGATTTTTCCTGTAATACCGTTTGTCAACATCAGCTGCTACCTCAGGCTCAACAAGGACGTTTGACGTTAAATTAGCTTCTACTAACTTCACATTGAACTTACATCTTAGAGAGAATTTGGGCCCTTTGATTTGCATACCTCTGCAGTACTACAGCCTGGCTGTTCATTCATTTACATAGCTGACTCTCTCAAGATTCTGGACACATTAAGTTACTTAACAAAAGAGCATGGGTATTTACTATTCAAATGGATGCCATGAAAATGAAAATAGAAAAAAAATTAATCTTATGTCCAGATTACTAAGATAACTTTTTTTTTAGTTGTAAAGTGGTGTACTCAATAAAGCTGCAACTAGTGTCTCACCCCAAGGGATTTTTATTGCAATGATTAAGACTTTGGTCAACAATCATCATCGAGTTTACACACTGAAAAATAAATACCACCAATCAAGTTTCCTTTAACATTTCAAAAGACGTAGATAAAATAAGTTCTTTATGCCAGCATTCAAGTTTTTAATGCCCTTAGCACTTTATACAAATGCCAGACATCACCTGATTAATTGAAAAAAAGAATGAAGAGCTGTCAAAACTACAGTTCCGAAATCCAAATATCCCCCAGCAACCTACACTGATTAGTCCCATTAGACCTGTATTGTGCTTGGTGATAGATCGTAATCCTTCCCCTCAAATGACAATAGATATAGGTACAGTCTAATACCCCTCCAGGACTTAACGGGCCAGCACACAACCAGAATCTGTGATTTATTCTCTATAAATGAAAAGTAAATTTACGAGCAATTACAATTATCACTGGCAAAACATTTAAATGCCAGAGAAAAAAGTAGTCAAAACCTCTTTTCTTTTCATCTATAAGATATAAAGAAAATAGAAAAAGCAGTTTATCCTGATAAAAGAAATATTTTTCTACAATTTGACTGATATGGAATGCACACATAAACACTGGGGAATGGGGGGGGGGGGGCTAACCAAATTCCATAGACTTATATACTCTCATTAAAATGCCTGAAGACCACTTAAATTTCTCCTGATCGTAGCAGTTTATAATATATTTTCTTCAAGTAAGTCAAACTGAAAAATGAGGCAATAAAGACCGTAAATCTGCAAGATCTAGAAGCACAAAAATAGGTCACCTGTGAACATATTACATTTTTGACACTTTATATATGGAGTACTTTGGCTCATTACAGTACTAATCTTAATGATGCATCTGTAGTCTTTCTACATAATGGAAGAAAATGAAAACACTTAACACCCATTTTAGAATGTAGAAATGATGTCTGCACTTGATGGAGAATTTACATACTCTCAAGACAAGTGGATTCACACCCTAATCATTGATCTGCTCTTGAAAACACACAAAATCTGAGGTCCCAAAGATCCACTTGACAAAAACATGAAAAAGCAGTTATCACTACTTTGCAACGTCTATCTTAATTTTGCTTTCACCCATATAATAGAGAAAAACACTTGCTTTGCCTGTCTGGATTTTTAAAGACATCATAATAATTGCATTTTAAAGTTAATGATGCTTGTATCCAGTTATTTAACAAATTATTCATTAAAATTTTCATTTACACATGCCACTTAAAATTTATCAATACATGTGTTGTAGAATAAAATAAAATAAAGTTTTATTTCTAAATGGTCTGTGACTTTATATACACATGCATCAAAGATCAAAGTGGTTTTTTCATTCCTATTAAAACCATTCATCAAGCTGTCATACGAATCTCCACCTCTTGCTTTACTGTGTAGGTCTGGTGTTGCATGTTAAGAAATGTGTTTCCAGAATTAGCCTTGTATCTAGATAAGATGGATATCAAAATAACAAGCCTGGGTACGAACTGTATGGGTTATACATTGATCTGAGTGGATTGTCACCTTAGGCTCACATTATCAGATTTATCTTCATGTCAATATAGATAACATTGTCAGAAGAGAACAACCCTGGAGTAGGCCAATGATGCCTGGAAATTATTTAACACTTATAATGATACTGCATAATGATAAACTGATAAGGACAAATTCCTCTCACCACTGACAATCTTTATCATTTACTTATGCACTATACCACATTTGTTATCTGCATGAATAAGATTTCTGAAATGTAAATTATATGGGCAAAAAAAGCATATATAATGCAAAAGTAACATCCATATTTTTTCTATAAATAAGAAAAAATCAGGCATGTTAATTAGTCTTAAATCTGCTATATATTTTATTTGTAAAGACATTCCATTCTTAACCTTCAAACATTATTCATATGTTCTGTGATAATTATTCAATGAAAAGGTCAATGCAGTTTTTTTAAAGCTTTGAAGTAAAAAAAAAAAAAAAGAGACTGCCAAATAGAGTATAAATGCATAAAGATAATTCACTACCATCAATGCTACAGTAAATCTGGTGTGCATGAAAAATAAATTGTATTGAACTGATCCGATGAGAAAGTAAACTCTTTTCATTTGCTTTGAATGGTTTAAATCCCTATCTTCATACATGTCTGAGACCAGGCAACACAGAAGTAATGATGACTTGTGTCACACAGCCATGAAAATAATTTATGACAAAGGTACTATTACACAATTTGGCAATTTGAGAGATCTCCTATTGCATGCTTTCATCATTTGTCTTATCTGTTCAGATTTACAATAAGGTTGTGCAAGCAACGTTACTCTAAAGAAAGCCTTTACATGGAAAAATTAGATCAAAAAGACTTTGTCACGCAATAAAAGTGAATTTCTTGGTAGAAAGCTTTATCTTCTTTCCTTGTAATTTACAAGAAATAATTGTAAGCTCTGAAGAGCTCTTTTAATACACCATGAAGGTCGAATATTTTACCAATGACCCATTATAATTAAAAGTATTTAGTAAGTAAATGAATCAAGTACACTGCATAGAAAATCAATCTATCAACCATTAAATAATTCTTTTTGATGTTATGAGCACTCCCATGAAATATTTTAAAATCAAAAAATAAAAGTTTGTGAATTAATAACCTAACAACGTCCATACTCCTACTTTGAAAAAGAATTGATCCATGTATTTTAAACTTTTCTTTGGTTCAATACCTTAGTAAGAATTTTTAATGGTGTTATCTTACAATGCATCTATTTAGTTTTCCCACCCTTACAATACAAGCAGGAAATTTAAAGGGTTTTCCAATGCAAAAGTTTGATCTTAATGCATGCAGAACTTACAATACCAGGGACATGGTTCAAATCGATTATAAATCATCTCCTTATCTAAAAAGTGACTTTTAAATGTTTAAGGTAAGAAATATAATAGGTAATCTTTTGGGAGAAGTAAGAATAAGATGTGCACTTTAAACAAATCAAGACATCATTTAGAATATATGCTGGATGTGTCTACAGGGGAGAAATACTTCATCAGCATCAGGTGACATTTGTAAGACACAAAGGGAGATTTGCCATAGCACACGACAAAGACTTTTGTGAAATGCAATGCCAACAAAATACAAAAAAAAATTCTCACCTGGAATGAAAGGTGTGGAGTTTTCCCAGTCGGTCACCATCTAAATGACTCGTAGCAGGCTGCAATATAAAAAGACATCAGCAATTTACACACAGGATATATTCTATTATCAATTCAACTTTTACACTAGCATTAGAATGATTATTGATATATCCATAGCAAAGATGACTTCATAAAAATCATGAAAATGTCACTTTTAGGATGAAATGTAAATGAGATAATCTGAGATCCAGACATTGCAGCTCAATATTCAACTGCTTAACCCTTTCAACACTGAAGACCGATACATCGGTCTGATAAAATTTCGTCTTGGAACACGGTAGACCGATTCATCGGTCTCAGACACAAAACTGAAAGTTAATGTTTATTCTTAGAAATAGAAAGTATTCTCTGTGCAAGAACTTTCGCTATGAATTATGGGTAGATGAATATAAACATCCGTTGACAAATATGGCGGACCACATGGCGAAAATCACGGAAAAATAAGGAAAATTAGATGAATCTTAAAGAAAACGAAGAAGAAAGCAAAATGGCGGTTAACAACAAAATGCCCGATCTTTCTGGCGATGAAAACTTTAATAAAATCGGGGAATTAGACATTATACATGTTTTTAGACAACAAAAATATGAGTTTTTAACAATGTTGAGAAATCTTGTCGGAGAAACTTGACTTGGAATCGGACTTTAAAGGCTCTGAAACAGAGGATGTTTTCGACGCCCCAGACTTCTCCCGATGTCCCAAAACACCACATTTTATTTATTTATTATTATGGACTTATTTTTCAATAAATTCTGACATGTTGCATATCATTTTACTTGGAAATGATTTCTCTTTTGAACGTTGGAAAGAACATGAGCGATTTTGAAACTTCATAGTAGCAAATTTATCAAAATATTACATAAGATCAGTTATAAAACATAAGTATTATTTTTATTAGTGCTTTTGACTTGCTAAATAATTTTGAATATATATAAATTTGATATCATTTAAAAGAGAAATGTCTCACCTTTCTAATAATGTGTCATTTATTAAAATATTCAAAGAAATAAAGAAGTTATTGTATTTTTTGTGATGGAAGGTGAAGTGTTCAGTGATGGCCCAAGTTACTCAGTGTACCAGGGCTTGGATGATAAAAGTTACTCAGTGTTGAAAGAGTTAAAACTGAACTTCAGATTAGACACAAACTTCAAATTTTATTTGAGAAATTATATTTTTGTTTGATTATCTTGTAGATGCTTCTAGGACAAGAGAATTACAGTACATCTGACATACTCATCCTCAGATGTAACTGATGCACAGTACATAAGGAAAAAAATATATATAAATCATACTGCCTTTTGTAATGTATATGATATATATTTCAGGTATCATTCAAGCAAAGGATGTAAAATGAGACACAGGTGTATATATATGCTCACAGAGAAGACAATTTACAATACCATAAGGATACAATTTGATCTAACTCTATGATATGATACCATAACATACATAATGTCTATACAGTGGGTTACAATACAATACAATACTTACAGGGGGACAGTCAGGGAGAGCTGGGGGTATGCTGGCCTGCAGGGGTGTGTGAGGGGAGGGGAAATTTGGACACCCTGGACTTGAGGTCCCAGATGAACAAGACACAGGTGAGATGGGAACCGTCTGCAACAAAACAATAAAGAACATGGGAATATAACACAAGGGAATCTACAAACGAGAAACATTTACTTGGTACAAACATACAAACAATGTATTGACATGATGAAAAAGCCCATGTGCAAAATGTAAATATAATTTTCACAGCATGCCACAATTAAAGGGGCTGGATTTCGCAGGCTGAATCAAACAAAGTGAACAGTTTAATAGGAGAGGGTTTCGTGGTTGAATTGAAGGCCACGGAGACACGGTGACGAGATAGAGTAGGATGGAGTGTTATTGATACATCTGATACCATTGTAACTACCTAAGCAATCTAACCCTGTATGCCAGCCTCTGGTGAAGTTACACATCTGAAGAGAGGTGTGGGCTATTAAGGCCCATGTATCACAATCCTACCCTACTTAAACCTTCTCACCCTAAGGTACACAGTCAAAAAGTAGTCTCCTGACTTCTGCCTCTGGGATTTAAGTTTCTTCTCAAGAGTGACTGGTTCATTTAACAGAAAATCTTAATGTTTATCAAAAGTGGACCATGCATCCATAAAGAAACACTGAATGCTTGATCACCTGCCCTAATTTGCATAAAAGTGTTAAAATATACCTGCCTCTTTGATTTGGGAGAATTCCAATTTGTAGTAGTTGTAAAATTCTTCTAGGGCTTAAAACTAGTTGAATTGTCAGTGGATAATTTAATGGCTATTGAAAGGGGCCATTTCATGGCTCTTTGCCGTGCTTCTCTGCCTCTTTCAAGCTAAGTAACATGGTGTTAATGTGGACATTATGGAGGTTATAACCTCGTCAACACCAAGCGATTTCAATTTCACAAAGCCATAGCTACACCCCATTAATCCCTGTCTAACAGTCCACATTGAACCTACTTCTATAATTTTGTTCCCTTTCAAGTTTATTGATCATTTTCAAAATTAATTAATAATTTACACCCCAATTTAAGAACTAATTAGAAAGCATAAAAATTTGTCTTAGCAAATTTTTTCACACAAAAACTTGAACATCTGCTTGTAATAGGTGGTAATTGCATCTCAAATGAGTCTGTTTTACAAATTAAGTCACTTCTTAAGATGCAATAAATCTGCCCTTATGCACATGTGACATCCCTCAAAGAGCCTATAAATCACTGATTTCTGTCCAATTTTCCTCCAAATCCAACATAAAGACTAGGCCACACAGCCTCTGCAACCCACAGAGCGGCCTTGAACTTTGAATCAAATCTGCAATTCTCTTTCATTTCTCTCTATGATTTCTACTTCTCCTACAGATTCCCTAAGGCTTTTTGGATTTTTTTTCCTGCTAAAATTCATGTTTAGTATGAGTTCATCATTTGACTAGTAATCAAAGTCACCCCATTACGTGGAACATGATATTCTAGACTTTTGTGATCTAACAACATTATGATATTTTTTCCCCGACATCCCCAGAGTTGTTGGGTGGTCTTCAGTAATTTTTGCTACATAAATATCATATCGTCCAGCTCTTGTTACTATGGATAAAGGGTGGGCAATACAAGTCTCATAAATAAACAATTTATCTCTAGCAAGCAGCTGATTATGAATTCGTTTAAGGAAACATTTGTATAATTGATAACTAAAGTACTCAGTTTTAAGATTTGTCATATTGTCCCACAGTTCTGATTCTGATAAGAGGGCACTGTTTCATTCGCTTGCTTGTGTCACCTCACTCAATGAAATTCTAGACCAAAATGTATCAATTTATATTTGCACAAGCTTGAAGTTTTAAAACAGCTTGTGGATAAAAGCATGAATTCATATTTCAAAACCACATCAATGTTTCACAAAGAACAATTTTCTAATCAGTGCTCATATGTTGAAATAAAAATATAATTTTGATTCAAAAGTACACACTCAATGACACATGATATTGATATCATTTTTATCAAGTTGAACTTTACTTCTTTAGGAGTAGTTCTGATAGAGCAAGTACACGTAGGAAGCCGCGATGTCATTCATTTTTCATTATCCTCCCAATATTTTATTACAGACCACAAAGTATTTGGTTCTCTTTGGAGCCTCAAGTTAGCATTACAGTGATGCAATGAGCCAGAAGACGTCAACACGAGACTGCGTGTCCACAAGTCTGAGATACAGGAAATCAATATTCTGCTGATATTCGACAGTCCGAGCTAGTCTATACCCCCTAATCTATCAGAGATAGGTCTTTTATGTGGTTAATCATGAATGGAAAAAGCAAGTCCTCACTTTATTTGTAGTATTCGGGACCCACAGACATAAAAATCAATAGATCATAACTAAAATATGTAGGGTTCATGTCATTATTCTCACATGAACATGAACAGTAGAGACATCTAATTAGATCATCACTTCATACATTAAGTTTGAGAAAATACTTCAAAATATTCATGCTTTGTATAGTAAAAAAAAATTCTAAAGAAGTGCATGTCAGAGGTCAGAGGTCAGGGCAAATTGAGGTACACCTTTATAGAGACATTTTCAAAGATTTCTTTTGCAAGTATAAAGGGAGAAGACTTCCTTGAGGGAGAAACAAACTGACTGATAAAAAGACTGTGGGGATGAATGAAAAATAAACAGTAGAACATCTAGATGGATACCTAGATAAACAGAGCTGGTTTTAACTATAATACACACTAGAAACACAAAACATCACCATGCTAATGCCTGTAAGCAGTTTTCACAGATTCCTCTGTCTAAATTAATTCATTTTTTACACTGACACATGCATTTTATCCCGAGATAGGTGGAAGTCTGTATGTTAATGATTATCAAGTGATAGACCAATTTCATCATAGATTTCATCAAATAAATAAAGTGGGCAAATAAATCTAAAAACATGGAATTGTTTACTCTTCATGTGCCTATATTAACATTTAGGTCTGCGAGTCTGAAAATTCTCAGATGGTTTCATATTAACAGTATATTTCTCATAAATTTTTATCAAATAAATAATTATCAAAATCGTCTGGGAAATATACAGAATAACACAATCTTAACTTAACAATTTATACTTTCACATCATGAATTTCTATACAAATGATCAACATACTTGTTCATTCTTGGAACATGTGTGTCATCTGTTATAAACTTCTATAAATGATCAAAGTATTTATGCATTCTAATAATAAAACTGACTGCAAAAACTTAACTATTTCTATACAAAAAAATATTTGAATTTTTGGACAATTTTACAATTATTACTGAATAATGTTGCCTATAGGGAGACTTTTTATTTTTCACTTAAATTCCATGTGGTCGTTTGCAACAATTGTAGGAGTAGGGTGTACTCAAATTACCAATCAGTTATCAATAAAACAGTAGAATAATGATGTTTATATTTATTTAACATAATTCATTCTTCTGACTGGAAGAAGCATGCCATTATAATTAGGCATGCTCTTACTGCAGCATATGCAAGTTGATTTCTCCAAGATCATAATGGCATAATGAAGTGAAACATCATTATCCCAAACACCCTACCTGTACATGTATATCAAATACCAGGGATATGTCAAATATCAGGGATATATGTCAAATAAAAGGGATATGTCAAATACTTAATGATCTTTTGAAATGAGTCCTACCGGTATTATGAAATTGCACTTGATATCTTGAACCCTTGGATATCTCCTGACATGTTTGAAATATCCAGGTTTGCCTGTACTTACAGTGTAGTGTGACTGAAGGTCCTTCTGTAGCACCCATTGTCTTAGTTCTTCTAATCTCTCGACGACGTCAGACGAACGCGTCCTCAACTGTATGGCGTACTTAGCAGCCAAGGTCATCATACTAGAGTGGCACGCCGTCCAGTCCTTAAAGAAAATGTTTGTACATGTACTTCAGAAGTAAGAATTTAATATAGCTACTATATAACCATAAAATTTAGGGCATTTAATTCATATATGAATTATGTATTACTAGGCAACTAAATAAAGATTTGCAATATGTTCTTTCTATAGTTTAAATCAATACGTCTTCATCAAAAATTATTTTTATGATGCACATTTAAACACTATGCATGTTTTTGGGGTTTTTGTTTTGCAGCTCTTTCTTTTTTTTCCAAGCTATAACCATTTGTTTATTATGAGCATGAATCAACAGTTCTTACATAAGCATTTTATATATTCTTCATCGTAACAGGATACTTTTTTTTTTTATATTTCTAACAAGCAAGAGATTCCATCACACTTCAAGTTGTTCACTTGCCAAGACCTCCATCCCCAAAGTATATGGCAAATAATAGAGTTTCATCTGATGAAGACCGATTTGATGTTCAATGATAATAAAAAGGCTAAAAGCTAGCATAGCTGCTGATCTACTGAATAGAAGCACAGCAGGAAAATCTAATTAACATTTACAAGAGCTAATTATCATTAACTGAAGATGTTGGACAGGGTATTGTGTAATCGCTAATCAAATGTTGCCATATTTACTTTCTCTGGCTCCAACATAGCTCCCATTTTCTCCCTCCTCTTTTCAAGACATAACAAGCTCTCTGAAATTTCTGGGCAATTTTTCAACACGAGAAAACGAGGAAAACATCAACATGGTTTTATGGCCATTGATTACTTTCTGTATCAGGGGCATATTTTTAGTTACAAGTGAATGAAAAACATGACATCGATACAGATAATCCCTGATGCAACATCAAGACATCAATTTCGTGGGGGGGAAAGTTATTCACCCTGTAATGATTTTTCCATGGGGTAATTCTGCTCTATTTGTACACTCAGCTATTCTAATCCCCTTTATCTTTCAACGTCAAAGAAAATGGGATTTTTTTTTTTTTTTTTACATTGAATGGATTTTTTATGGGCGGTTACCCTTTTCTTTTTTTCTACAGACTTGCCCGATTTACACCTGCTTAAAATGAGAGCGCTAGACTTAAGGCTGGTGGTGTCAGCTGTACGCCTTTATCATGATCTTGTCTGAGAATTATTTTATCTTGTACTCTGTTGTTGATACTACTGTCTAAAATGATAAGCCCCCATAATTCCACTGCCTCTGCCCCCACCTCATACGAGCAAAAATCATGTAAAAACAGAAACAATATCAGTTCCAAAACATCTCACTCCTTGTCATATTGTGAACTGTAGAGAATTTGGATTGGAAATCAAGTTTATCTCTTAACTTCGTCTTTGATCTTTATAGAACAAATATGTTTCTTCCAGGGGTGTTAATTAACAAAGGGAGATAACCTAGTTCAGACTCATCCAACCTGCATGAAATTTGTTGGGGTTAATAGGTTCTAGAAACACTACAGAGTAAAGATGACCATAGTATCCATGAAAATAAGCACAACAGATGCTTTAGATCAATCAGATTTACTTTGGGGGGAGAGGAAATAATTTGAAAGGTACTGGTAGGTAGTTTGGGAGGGACCGTAATGAGATATGCTGCCACACATAAGATTGTGCTCCAACGCTGACTCAGCTAGAGACTTGGGGTTTGTGGGTATAGAAGGTTCAAATTCATTATTTCCCATCACAGAAATATCTAGCCTAATTTACAAAAAAAAAAAAAAATCTAAATTTAAAGTGACCTGAATGTATACAGAAAAGAGAATTGCCCCTTATAATTTTGATTGTAGACTTTGAGAACCACCTGACTGGATGTTTAGTGCATTAGGCTACAGCACCTGTCTAACGGGATCTCTGTTTATCACTGCCATTCTTCGGAGGCAATCCCCAAGATGTACATGTTTCATGTCAGCTAGGACTAAGGAGGTTCAAATAAAGTGCAAAATTTCATCTAATCTATCTGAATTGCATACCTAGCACTTGAGAAAGCATCTAATATGTTCCAATTTTTGCAATTGTTTTTTAGTTTATCTATTGGAAAAGTTTCCTCTTCAACATAATAATATCTCTTGCCTAGAATGTTTATCAACACGCTCTCCGGCAATTTTACCTCTGTAATGTAAAATCAATTCTAGAATATCTGCTTGCATGCTGTCCTGAAAAGTCCATTTTTTATGATAAAGATATGAAATGTCAATATAGCATTGACTATTTTTTCCGCAAGACCCCAGAGAGTTTGTTTTCAATGCCTAACATAGTACACTAAATGTGAAGGAATTGGTTCATCTAGTGATTAGCATAAGGGAGGGGCAAATTAACAGCAAACCTGGCATTAATTGCAAAAAATTATCCTTGGATTAGTTGATTATGGAAAAATACAGGCAACATGGGCATCTGTCATCAAAACTCATCAGACAGGAAAAAATGAGGGCGTCAACCAAAAAATACATTTAATAAACCACCACATATTTCATCAAGTTCCATGAATTGTGTGTCAACTGGCCTCAATATTTTCGACCTGAACTGTATCAAAATGCCACATTATTAATCCCATAATTTGGCATCTTTAATTGAATATCCTGTGCACAAGCACTGGATCAGCTAAACATAAAAACACTACACATACCTGTACCTATCACTAATGTTGTTACATGTGAGTCATTAACAGGTATAATCCCTCCCAAACACTCTATTCAATTATTATCAGGACCCCCCAATTTATTAGCAACTCTCGCCATTCTATAATCGTGACACTGACAGAAACCCTGCTTAAGTCCTGAACTTTAATACACAACACTTGCCAGAAATATCACAAACTCTGCAACCTGAAATATGCCTGAACTGATTAGTCCTCTTTACAAAATTAGGTCGAGTTTGAATTCATGGCTTGGTTTGAGCTTCTTTTTTTTTGAACAATGAGGAAAATCCATATGTACAGATAGTGCACAGTGGGTAGGATAAAAAGGGATCAGTTTGTGCTTTATGACATTTTCTATCCAAGCAGGGATGTTAAAATGTCATACAATACATATGGGATATGAACAATTATTGCACCTATTGCTGTGTTACTGAAATAAAAATGAATTTAACCCTTTATATTATTCATACAATATATACAGTTACCACCTCTAACCAGTTTGTATTGACATATGTTGCCAAGAAATGTTTTATATTTACTTAAATCTACTGTATACTCTCTGAATTAGAATAAATGATTCATATATCTCTAAGAGTAATTTTCTTGTCAAAGAAAGGGAATAGTCAATTATCTATGAATGGACCATTAAAAGCTTTATATATTGTAAGTACAACAATTAAAAGAATTCATTTTTGTCTGGAGTATACTCCTTATTGGACATACACATCACATGGACCCTGTCATACACCCAATGATGCTTTGAGTGTGGAGCTTATGATGGAGGAACTTCAAGATGGTTCTGCCAGACTCAGTCCCTCTTGGGACCTGCCCCAGAATTTTCTACACACACTAGACAGGCACAGCTATTTTCATTGTTTAATCAATCATCACCAAAATTAATTACACCTCCCCTAATTCCCTGCATGTAACAGCATGGCTGATCTCAAATTGTTCTCTATCCCAGTCAGCAAGTATTACGGTGGACTCAGTCTGGGAGGGGATTTCCATGATTTTATGTTTAAAAAATTAACTTTGTATCCAGAAATGAAATTGACTTTGGACTGTGAATTCCATGATTTTATGTTTAAAAAATTAACTTTGTATCCAGAAATGAAATTGACTTTGGACTGTCTTCAAAGGATGTAGGGAGAGAAGCACAGGATATTGTCACAAATTATCAGATTATTCCCTCGTTCAGACCATGAATTGAATTTACCATTTGGGCCATTAAAGGGAAATTTCTTGAATATTGGTCTAACAAAGACAAAATTTATCTGTAGCCTTAATATTGACAATAATCACATTGAAGAATAAATCTCGAGAGTTTAAAAGAAAATATCTTTCTCCTCGAAGAAAGGTAAAGTATGTCAGTAGCCGCACCGAGATTTTAAGAGAGCTTACTTAATCGGACTTCTTGAACTAAATGTGGGGAACCACAAAGAGTTAAGATTAAAATTTATCAGCTTTTAAACTTCAACAATACTTTCCTTCCACAAGTAAATTCCCTGAGAAGCCTTGAAGACACTGACTTTTCAATACATAAGAGTATATACCACTCACTGGGTAGAAATACTTCACATTTTCTATGGTTTTGTGGTTTTAATTTAAAATGTTTTGTGGAAATTGGAGATAAGAAGAGTGTTCTATACTAGTGCTATAGTCATCTCTCTGATTCAAGCCACATAATTATTTGTGTTTTACCCCTGATCTTATCTGCATTGGGTTACCCATGTAATTAAATTATCTGACCTATAAATATAATGTTGTCATTGACTGATGATCAAGATAAGTGTGTTCAGCAATGGGATATACATCTGTGTTAATTAAGGTCACCACAAGCACCTGTCATAATAATGACCTCTAGTCTTGTAAGTTCTACCGATCATTCCACAAACAACAGGGCCATTTGACAGCCCAATTGTCATTTCCGTTTCAAGTGAAATTAATTTTTCAAAACTTCTAGCAATGAAAAAGAAGAAGAGATCAACATAGTCATTATGAAATTCTTTCCTCAATAAAAAATTGATTTTTTTTTCTTTCAAAAAATCCTGTAAATTCTCATTCTGATATCAAAATATCATGAACAGTTCACCAGACTGAGCATGCAACCATAAAAATCACTTCTCCTGAATAAGTGGATTTGCATAATATTCTCATCAAAATCCTTCCTAATTTTTTTTTTCATTCCTCGAAATACTCATTTAATCAATACCTATGCAATTAAAGATACAACTCAACAAACACGCCAATGTGTAACTTGAGTGCCATAGAATTGTTACACAGACATGTATGAAAGTCATGCAGTATCAATTTAAAACCAACAATGTTTACCAGATACCCACTAAATATACCTATGTAAACTCAACATCTACTGTAAGTTGGGTCAGTAAATATTTTTGGCCCATCAAGTACAACTTTTCCTTTATTCTGGCGCCATTAGCCATTGAAAACTCTCCTTAAAATGCATTTAAGATGATCAACGAGAACTTGTATTTTTGTTTACTCCCAGTCTCTTCGTTAATTTTTCATTTGCACAATATGCAGCCAGTCTGTCTCAAAACGCACTGATTAAACAAAATGAAACAAAAAGGGTCTTGAATGTTAAATAGCTTGTTTTAGTGGGTATAAGTACTACTGTAAAGAAGTACCGGTAGCTTGAATGTCACATTTCTACCAGATTCAGTGTTACACAAGAATTGTTGTAATTAATAATTCTTTTTTTACCCTTCCTCTTCATAAAATTTTAATGACTTCACTCCTAAATTAAGAATTTTACTGCTTTCTTTGATCTAGAATGTAGATAAAATTTGTTCTTTCAACAGTTAAGAATGGCAAATACATCTCTCTCAAAATCATAACTTAAATAAAGAACAATTCTAGACCGCCAAATAATATCCTGGTATGGAAATTCGATTAGCATACATTTATTTACGATTACGGTCTTAGTATGGTACATGTAGATTTATATCACAAATGTAATTTGCTTTAACACATTATATCAAAAACTACAGCTTTTAAGTCCTAATAAAAATAATGAGATTTGATAAAGGGGACATCACACAATGCATCAACGATCACTTTAAACTGCAATTCAATACGACCATGAACCAGATCACAACAAAAAAAAAAGCATTCTCCCAGGTAACATTATGAATGGAAATAGTTGAGGAAATTGTGATGTATTTTACCAATTTATCATTGAAAAAATTCTTGTTCCAAATTTTTGTGTCTTGATTTACACAGGTGAAGCCACATGAAATTGGGATTAAATCATTTCCGAAGAAGATTCATCATGTACAAGTAACAATACTGTGTCATCCTACCTATTAGTCATTATATAACCCACTAGTGCATGCATTATCTATACTGATAAGAGATTGGTCATTTTCAGGTCAATTTACAGGTAGATTCTAATTTGACATATCAGCAAGACCCCCAGGGATTATTGGAGGGCAAAATACGAAGTGTGAAATGAAAATATTGTATTATTCAGCTGTCAACAGGTTTGGGCAGCAAATAGTTGTAAAACAGATAATAAATGATTTGTGTCAAACATAATAAGGTTATTAACACCTTGTCTCAAGATAAGGTAGAAGTAAATACATGTATGCATCAGCTTTGTCTATGTTAGCTAAACAAAGAGGACAATTACAGATTTTTAAAGAAGTCATTTTAACTTTGACCAACCCGAATGCAAATATACTTACTCTGCGAGTGTATGGTGGACTCAATAAGTCTATATTATCCTGTACTAATTTATCCCTAACAATCATTCTCAGCTGTGCCCGGGGGTAAATTGTCACCATCTCCTCCGGTCCGCCCCCTCCCACACAAGACATCCTGGAGGCGGTTCTCTGCGCCTCAACATTGGTAGAGTTCCGTCGGTTTGGGGGTCCCTGCTTCTCAGAAAGATTTGGTTCAATGACAGCTACATCTGAGGTCTCTAGAGTAAAGTACACAGAGGTCGCCCCCTCCTCTTTGATTTTGGTCACAGCCTGAAGAATTATTTGACGGTGAACTTCATTTGTTACCCCAATTGCATCCAAATCAGGTTTCCCGATTTGTTTGCATACTTCAAGCTCGTCATAACCATTGTCAATGAATGCCTCTGTATATATTTCCAAGCTGATTGACTTCAACCAGTCTCCAATAATGTTGTCAGTCATTTTTTAATCACATCCAATTAATTCCTCCGAAAAGATACACACCACATGTCCGCTACACAGACGTCACATCGAATGAAGTTTCACAGTCACATTGCGCTCTCTGAAATACAACAGTTTGCGCGCGCACCTCTCCGACGATTACTCCTTGCATTGGACCAATGACAATCGATGTACATATAAACAAAAGCACGTGTTGTACTTTCACTTTCTTTCTTTTTATATGCATTACAATAAAATGTGCACGTTATGGGGACTTTCTTGCAGTTTTTTTTTCTTTTTCTATGACATGTTAAGGTAGTATTCCAGTTAATTAAAAAAAATATCCAAAAGCAAATATTTTGGTTTTCCGAAATAATTTTTTCTATTACATATTTACAAGGTATTTCAATTGAAAAAAAAAATATGTAAAAAAAGATAGAACAGCCCTTGGGGCATGGACCTGGGTAAGGGGTTCTGTCTTCAAGCACTTTTGCCGTGGCCGCGTAGAGATCGTGTATTGATGAAAAATTTATCATTCTTTGTGTAGGAAGCAAAATTATTTCACTGACCGATAGGAACAATGCAATTTAAACAATATAGCCAAAATTTGATTACTATAGACATGAATCCCTCATGTATGCCTATTTTCGTATAGTTGTTGTTTCTGGCTCCCCCATATTTAAATGATTTATTGACTTTTTTTTAATAATTTACAATCCTTGTCCAAAGAGACGAAGACATCGCTGTTAACCATCTAATAATTTCAGAAATACAGCATTATCAAACGCACGTGTCCTTGGAGCAATGAATACAATATTGCGTCTTCATTGTAACTACTGCAAAGAGTCTGGGTTGATGTGATTGTTCCATCAGCTCGGTACCTAGGGCTTCGTATGGCTGAAAAAAGTCGCGTTTTGTTTTAAGCATATTTTATTGAGTAAATCAGAAGGACTGGAAAAAGACATCTTCTATTTGGAAGCTTAGTTGTGCAGCATGCTAGTCTGAGGAACAACTGTTGCTCAGAAATGCAGACACGACGAGCAACTGATTCCAAATTCTGTCAAAGTTTAGCTGGTGAACAAAAGATTGTGTCAATTTATGATAGCAGGCAATGCTTTAATTACAATTATATCTAAGACACTTAATTTTGTCAATACAGAAATTTTCATGAGAAGATATGCTGATAATAATTCATTATCATTCACTGAATCATTCAGGATAAGAGATTGTACATGACTCTAATTAAAAGGACAGATCTATAGATCTATCAAATTTAAATGGACACGTGTGGATCGTTATATTTATTAAACGATTTAACATCCCAAGAAATTCAAAGAAAAATCCAAAACAAATATAGAATAATGTACATGTAATTTCTTAACGAAAATTGTGAAAACAAGTTAAATACAGACTTAACTACATTTATTTTAGTTAAACGTTTCTTGGTTGTTAAAATTAAAAAAAAAAAAAAAACAAATATTGTTGCAAAAAAAGTTTCATCTTTATATTTTTCAATTTTCACTATCAGAAGTCATATTTATATAACATTTTCTTTAAATTAAAAGAAATACACTATTTTTGTCGTTTTTCTTGCTTTGCAGTTGCATGATACTAAATAAGTGCAAACGAGTATATTCCCTTTGGCTAAAAGAAAGGAGATGTTAACGATCATATATGTTTTCAGTTGTCGTCTACAGTATCTATAAATTTCATTTATGTTGGACAAGCTTTAAAGGGGGTTAATATAGATTCCCGGTCAATTTGTAAAATTATTTGCATGAGCAAGATGGTTAGATGCGTGAAAAAATAATTTCGAAAATGCCTTAACTTTTCGACACTTCACAGTAATCAAGAAGTTATCAGAAAAATGACGGTCTGAACCCAGTCCAAGAAATGGTCATATTTCACTACGGAGGGTAATACCTTACGTCCGCTTAAAATTTCAATTACCGGTACACCTCCATGAGGAGTTTCGCATGATTTTGATAAGTACTCCCAATCTCAATTATAGTAAAATATCTACTTTGAAGATATCTACTTTGTATATATCTAGTAGATTGTTTAATTTTTTAAATATCAATTAAAATGGGATCAAATTAGGGGAATTAGAGTTGTGCAGCACCAAACCCCAGTCTAAAAAAATATTACTATATTGATGGTCTATTCCAATTTCTACCCTTTATTTCACCTTCGCTAACCAAACCTGTGTTTCTGATCCGCTCCACTCCTCACAAACATGTGGAAAGCATGCGCGGATCTAGAGGGTGGTTGGAGTCCTTGGATTTTCAGAGTTATAAAATTTCTTTGTAAAGTACCGAAAAATATTACCTTGGACGCCCCTGGAAGCACGGACCCCAAAGTGAATTTATTCAGACTTGTCTTCCGCTATGCTTCCAACGTGGGAGAGTAGCGAGAACAACTCTGGATAGAGAATGGTCTTGAATATGAAGAAAATGGATCTTAAAATGTGACTTGTTCTAAACCCCCTCCCTCCACTCCACAAAATATATTGTTGTTCTTTTTCTTTCTTTCTTTCTTTCTTTTTTTTTTTTTTTTTTGCTTGCTTGTTTCAGAGTCAGAAAAGGGGGGGGGGGCTCTGGTCCCCAGCTTAAACACCCGACCCCAACCCCCGCCAGGAAACACGGACCCTCTTAATTTGGTATATGAAGGAAAGTGGCTTACCCAAAAGAAGATTTTTTCGTGTTTGGACAGGTTAAACCCCGTTAAAGTTAGTGAGCTTTGGTCATAAGTATATGAATGGCCATCTCCCTCCCCCTGAACTGATGGTTTGAGACCAGAATTTTTTTTTTTTTTTTTTTTTTTTTTTTTTTTTGGTGTATGATGCTATCGAATATTCGAGAACAAGTAGGCTTGACACCTTTAGATACAGGGTGTTTCATAATATATGTTACATTTTTAAATCTAAATATTTTTCTGATCATCATATTGCTAATACAAACCATATATCATTATTTATTACATTTTCAACAGTGAAATGCTGTAATTTTTTTATTTGAATAAAAGTGATATTCTCTCACAGTGAGAAAGGATACCAAAATGATTTTCTGTCACAGTGTGAAAGGATATCAAAGTAAGTAAAAAAAAAAAAACCTTTTATAAGATAGAGATAGTAACTAAACCGTCTTGCATGATAGAGACTAAAACCTCCAAATTCTTCCCAAATATGTTGCTAAAATCCGTGTTACAATGTTTTTCATTTTACAACTGCTAAGCTATGCTTCGCACTCGTGAAAATATAAAAAAAAATCCTGTCCCACTCGTGAAATAAATTCCATATCCAATTACAAAACATTGAATATCCTCTATAAACATCAAATCCAGCATTTTTATTCCCCGTTGAAAAAATTAAGCAAATTATAATCGTTTATTGTAAGACAAACATCGGCGTAATTTGAATATTTTTCGAAATGGATTGCCAAATTGATGATGAAAAATATTCCAAAAGAGATTTAAAAAAAAAAGTTGTAGGATGCTTATGGGGATCCTAGTAACAAAGTCTGAAAGGACTGGGACAATATGCAATAACTGAATTACAAACCGGGAACGACCTCAAGAATCGATTTTATTGGTGAAATGAAGACTCTAGATAGTTTAGCAAATTCATCAGAAAATTGTCAGAAAAAATGCTTTCAGAAATTGTTGCTGACAATATCAGCATTTCCGATGTATAGTGAACAAACTTGAAATGTTAAGTTATCAACATGAAATGTTTCAGTAATGCAGCGCCCCAAAGAAAGAGTTAGACCCTCGAATTTGCCAGATCTACATCCACTGGGTCCTTTGAGGTTCCTTAGAGACTGCATGGGTCTTCAATTCTACACCACAGATACTGAAAAAGAACATAAAACTTCAAATGAGGAGTGTCTCAGCAGAAGGTTTTAAAATTTCAAAAAAAAACAACAACAACAACAAAAAAACAACAACAACAACCAAAAAAAAAAAAAAATCAAACAAACAAAAACAACAACAACAACAACTTTCTCTTGTAGTTGATATAGGCGGAGATCATTTAAACCATGTGATATGTGAGCTATTCAATGAAAACGTGACGAAAATGACGCAATTTAGAAATTTTGCTAATTTTCATTGATAGTTAATAATTTATTCAAGATTAAATATTTGGGTTTGTAAGTGTATATAATGAATCTAATGGATACATGCATCAAATTAATAAAAATACTTGTCTCTTTCTTTTTCTTGTGATTGACAACTTGTACATTCAAAACGTAACATATATTATGAAACACCCTGTACCACAACTTCTTCAGTTTCGCAGCAAATATAAATGTGAAATCAAATTGAAACCTCCCTGCATTTCAACGAAAAAAAATTCAAGGTAACTTAGGACATAAAACAAGACAAGCTTGATTTATATTCGCAGAAAAATAAATTTATCAGCATGTCAGCGTTGTTTTAATTTAAACCAATCAAATCGCAAATCTGCATTTGTCTCATGTAATGGCGGCATCCTTGTTTATGCGGTGAGATACGTATGTAAGCTATATTTCCTAATTTTATCATTTATAAGAGCATAATATGTCTATGCTACTATGTATTCGACTAAAAGGAACCCCGATTTTTCTTTTATGGTGATTTCTGTCGCTTATAACATTTCGTTTGTGTGCAAATAATCACAAAATTAAATGGAACATGTATTTCTTTCTATAGGAAACTATCGTAATTTTAAGCATCTTAAATACTTAAAATCAACTAACAATGACCAACACTATACAACTTACAAGTAGTACTTCTTATTGATGACTAAGTTCCGGGGTTGTTGAAACAATGTTAATCTGGTACATGCATATAATCATTTGGGTATCATTTTTCAAGAATCAAGCAGGTCTAGGAAAATCACTATATTTAGCTATATAGCTAAATCTACCTATATAGCTTTATTTACCTATATAATATAGCTTTATTTAGCTATTTCAGAGTAAATTTCTGTTTTATGAAAAGCAGACAAAAAGTCGCATAATGAGGCAGTATTAGTTTTCAACTTTGAAATGGACTGAAAACAATTCACCAAAAACCCACTTTTAAAAATGTTTCTCCTTTTGTGCAATTGCAATCAAAGATCTAAAAGTTTTGGGGCTATGTATAACAGTTAATCTGTGAATAAGCAGCTACTTTAACAAAGAAAAGCAGTTTTGGTCAACAAGATAATTGATTGGTAATAATTCAGCACAATGCAAGGCAATCACACTTAGTCATGCCTCATCGCACTTCCAGTAATGGACAGCTATCCAAACAATAGAGATGCATTTTTTGGTTAAAAAGTGTTTAAAAGAGGCAATGTTTTTACTATCTATGCCCTAGGTTGTTTTTATCAAACCTTTTTAAAAAAATATCAGCCATAATTTTCATGCGACTTTTTGTTTGCTTTTCATAAAACAGAAACTTATTCTAAAATAGCTAAATAAAGCTATATTATATAGGTAAATAAAGCTATATAGGTAAATTAAGCTATATAGCTAAATATAGTGATTTTCCTGGACCTGTCAAGAGGAATTTTGTCAGTTTTTGTAGAGTCAATACAATAGAAGTAGTAAGGTGTATTTTGTGTGCATGCTTTTAGTAATGGCAAATAATAAAAAAGGTTGAAGATTTTATATAAGTTGTCAAGACTAGTGCATTGTTAATTCTTACTATTTATTAATCTTCTGCTTCAGAGGAATTCACTTTCGGTTCAAAATTTAAAGAAAAAGAATTTGTGTAAAGATAATAGAAACACAAAGAGTAGAAAAATCTATATGATTCAATTACATAAACAATAATCTAATTTGATTATGTATTTCTGGTCAAACCAGTTCTGTAAATAATTAGAGAATTATTTATGGCCAACAGTGCCTGAGGTTAAAGTAATGTATAGATCGATATTATTTTTTTGCCAGAAGGCACAATAAATTTCCAGTTTTATTTAAATAATTGTTTACAAAATTGAAATGGTAATTCAGCAAGAAAAAAGTCACTTTAACTGATGTTAAAACAGAATTGCATTGAAAGCATGTTTGAGTGTGTGCATTTGTACATTTGCACAGCATTTGTGTAATTGAATTTCAAAGCTGTCAGTGTATATATTTTCAGATATTGAATAAAATCTAAGCATGCCCAGGAGTAAGAAGCGTGGAGCCGCAGCTGCCAGTCAGACAGCAGTCGCAGCTGAGGATACTCCTGCCAATGTTGAGGAATCACCAGCTGGGAGGAGAAAGCGAGGATCAGCCTCTCAGAGCCCTGCTCCCAAAAAACCAGCCCCTAAAGCCTTACCCAGCCCAGCTCCCAGATCAAGGTATTTTTGCCATGAAAAGGGCAAGAAAGCAGGTTTCTTTTACATTCCTAGGTCAAGTAATATGAGAACATTAAGGAAGTAGTCTCTTTGTTTACAAATATTAGTATAAATTAGTTTCAGATGTATTTAACCCCTTCCAAAGAAAAGTTTTTGATGGTCTATAGCATTAAACCAGCCATTTTTAAGGTGTTTTTATATACTGAAACACAAAAGAAATGCAACAAGCAGTACTCTACAAATATTTGAATTTTTTTATCTAATGATTTTAAAAAATGAATACAGTAAGGTAAAACTCGATTTAAAAACATCAGAGATTTGATGAAAATGTTAAACGATTATCTTTTAACTTTAGAAAGTAACACATGACTGTTAAAACACCCTTATCCTGGCCATTCAATTACAGCATGCAAGACTGTCATGCACAGCAATTGCAGCTTGATTTCTTTGATGCAATAGGTTTATCAATCTCGAGATCTGAGCAAAAGAAATATTTTTTTCCATTTTTGAATGCCTGTTTTTCAGACGTTGAGGTTGCATTTTCTCTAGCCTAGCACAGTGTAGTAACCCTTGGACTTCAGGTTCAAGGACTGTCATTCATGCTATTGATACGCAAGAGCCTGTTGAGGCATGATGTAGTGCATACTTGCATCTGCAACTCTCTATCACCCTTACTTCGAGATCTTCCAGCTAGAGCAATGGAAATGCGTACTTACATCATTTTCAGGAAGCCTTGAAATCGCTTATGGAAAAGAAAGGAGAATTTATTTTTGAAAATATTGCTGCATTACCTATGATAAACAGATACAAACTCTTAAAACCCCATATTACTGCCAAATATTTTGTTAAACGTGCAATTTCTGATTTCTGTTAAGCGGACTCTAATTTAACTTCCGGTTATGGTATGAAAATCAATCAACCGTTAAATTACCGATATTTACAAAGTTGAATATGTCCTTACTTAAAGATACAAAATCGTATCCTACATATAATATTTCCCCCCAAAATAGGATGTTGCGTTTCTTTTGCGTTTCAGTATATAAATGAACTTTGATAAGACTTCATAAATGATATCTTACATGTTGTTAAATATTGAGCAAATTTGGTGAAATTGCAAATGTTGTTACAGGAGCCGAGGTAAAGGAAGAGGAAAATCACAAGGAAAGGGTAAATGTTCTTATTAATGCTGCTAGTTTTCTAAAATAATGCTTCAATGGGATTTTTCTTCTCATCTTTCTCCTACATCACATGAAAACTTAAACTGGTTTCATCAAACAATTCCTGTCATTTGTAAATGTGGTGAAATGTTTTATACCAATGTTATTGTAAAGATTGGATGGATTTGTGTTTTTTTTTTTTGAAAAGCTTTTATTTCATATACGCTTGTAGGTGATAGTGCAGAAGAAACTGGAAGAGTAACCAGAGCGGTGGTACATGAAGCTGAAGAATCTCCAAAGCGAGGTCGTTCCACTTCCAGGAGGGGGAAACCAGCCAGTGAACCGGCCCCTGAACCAGTTACTTCAGCCAGAAGTAGGTCCAGACAGAAGGCAACTCCATCTAAAAAGACACCAACAGCCAAAAAGACTCCGACAAGAGGTAGTCGCAGTAGAAGTGCTCGTGGTAAGAAAAAAGCTGAAGAGGATGTTGATATGGAAGAAGAGGAGGAAGAAGAAGATGAAGTTCAGCCAGTTAAGTCTACTCCTAAACAAAGAGGAAGAGCTAGAAAGGCTACTCCTAAGAAGTCTCCAGCACCAAAAAAGTCCCCAGCACGGAAAAAGACTCCAGCAAAGAGTGCATCAAGATCAAGAAGCAGAGGGAAGAAGCAGAGTGCTGAAGAACCACAAAGTCCTCTCCCAGATGCCCAAATTGTCCTCACTAAAATTGACTCACCTCAGAAAGCTTCATCTCCTACCAAGTCTCCATCTCCTAAGGCAGCAAAGAAAACACCTTCACCCAGTCCTAAGAAAGCAGCAAGATCAACAGCAAAGAGAACTCCTCCATCAGCCAGCAGAGGCAACCGTTCACAGAAAGGAGCTCAGGTTCAAGAGGAGGCAAAACTTGAGGAGGAAAAAACTGAAAAGGAGGAGGAACAAGCAAGTGAAGATTTAGAAAAAGAGAAGGAAGAAGCTGTGGATACTACAGAATCAGTAGAACAGAAAGAGGAGACAAAGGAGACTGAAGAAGAGAAAGCAGCTACTGAAGAGGAAATGGCAGCTGAAGAGGAAAAAGAACCTGATAATGAAGAAAACAAAGAAGAAAAAGTAGGGGAAGAAGAAGCAGCTGAAGAAAAAGAAGAAAAGATGGAGGCACCTGCAGAGGAGAAGCCGGTAGAACCCATGGAACCAGAAGCTGAGGAGAAGCCCGTCCAAGAAAGTGCAATAGAAGCAATATCTGATGATGAAGTAGCAGAAGATGAAAAGATGACTGAAAATGCACAGCAGAATTTAGCTGAGGAAAATGGAGAGGATGCAGAGGTGCCCAGTCAGAAGAGGAAGTTAGAAGAAGTTGAGGATGGAGTAGAAGAGGAGGAAGATTTTTCTGCCAAGAAACCTAAACTGGTTGAGGAATCTGTTCCTCAGACAAATGGAAATGAGGAAAATAGCATGGAATTTGAAACAAGTGAAGAAGTGAAAGAAAACGTGGTGGAACCTGAAACAAGTATTGAAAAAGACTATGTAATGGTCAACGTAAATGAAGTTCCTGCTGCTGATAGCAATGAGATTTTAGATAGCATTCCCAAGCCACAGAATGAAGAACCAGAAAAAGAGGTGGAGCAGGTAGTGGAGGAAGTAGAAGCAGTTCCTGTGGTAGATAATCAGGTAGAAGAAAGTGGAAATGTTGTAATGGAAGAAGAGGCAGCGGAAATCCAGGAGGAAGTTGTGGAGGAGCCCATACAGAAAGAGGAATTTCAACCTCTGGGAAATGAGGAAGTTATTCAGGAAGCTAGTAACACTCCTGTTCCCCAACAGGAAGTAGTTCAACAGGAAGTAGTTCAAGAGGCAATTATGGTACAGCCAAACCAGACAGAAGAAATTCATCAATTAGTGCAATCAGTGAATAGTGAAATCAATGAACAATTACCAGTATCAAATCCAGACAAGCAAAACTGGGTTTTCAACAGGAGGTTCATCAAAAATCCAGCCTTCCGAGATGATGTAGCAGACCCTGCAAAACAATTTAGTGTGGTTAGTTACAACATTCTTGCCCAGTGCCATCTAGAGAGAAATGACTACAGTTTTACAGAACCACAGTTTTTGGCAGCTGACCACCGTTACCAGAAAGTGGTGGAGGAGCTGAGGTATCTGGACGGGGATATCGTCTGTCTTCAAGAGGTGGAACCAGGGTTTTACAATAACAAACTGATGGCAGCTATGAAAGAGTGAGTTTTGGATTTAAAATTAAATAAATTGTAATGTGATTGTATGAATTACATATAAATAGTTAAAAAAAAAAAAGCAAAAATCAGTAGTATTTTTGCCTAGGATTTTCTGTCGATAAAAGCAAACTGGAAATGAGAAAATAAATGTATATCCTAAATATATTTGCATCATGCAAAAGAAATAATGTTTTGCTGTTTTTTTTATGTTTATTAGGCAGTTTCGTAAGTCACCCAAAAAAATCTTCAATAAGAACTAACTTGGTTCTAGCATTTCTGTAGAACTAACTTGGTTCTAGCATTTCTGTTGAGTATAATTGCTAACTTTGTAGAATGGGATACCAGGGACTGATGAGAAAGCGTACTGATGATTACAGTGATGAAGGAGAGGCCCTCTTCTACAAATCTAGTCGATTTACCATCATAGAAAGCTATACATACTCTATGGCTGAACTGGCAAATAAGGTACACAAAGTTGTTAGAACATTTATACTGATAGTTTGGACTTTCAGGTGTTCCTGACAAACAATGAGGTGTTATAAGCTTATCCATTTGATCAGAGGAAACAATGTTTGCACCAACAGTCATATGTAAAAAAAAAAAAAATTGTATGGAATATATTCCAGAGAAAGCAATTGATCATTTTTTACAATTTTAATTACAATACAATTTTACCATTGTAGGAAATTGATGATGGAGTAGACCCCACACAACAGGAGACCATCAAGGCTTACCTGGACCGTCCTGATGTAATGGTCCTGGCTAAGCTTCAGTGTAATAAAACAGGACAGGTCCTCACTGTAGGAAATATCCATGTTCACTGGGGCAAAATGAAGGTCCCAGATGTACAGTGTATACAGGTAAGGCTAGGTGTAGGGTAATTAATATTTTGATGTTTTAAAAATTCCTTTGAAAATTAAATCATCTTCATACAAGTTTAATGAATTTTTGTTGAAATTTATACATAAAGTATGTTAAAGTTCATATATTTAGTAAATTGTGAACTTTTCAGATTGCATGTGCCATTAAGGAGGTGGTTAGTAAGGCAGGGAGTGACATGAACCCCCATATTATATGTGGGGACTTTAACTCGGAGGTGACTAGCCCAGGTTACCAGCTTTGTACGGAGGGATACCTGTCCGATGCCTGCATTCAACAACTCCAGTCACTGGAGAATTTAATATTCCCAGATGGATCAGTGAGTGTATATTTCCTTTTTTTTTTTTAGTTGGTGATTTCCCTTTTTTTTTAGTTGGTGAAAAATGAATGAAAAAAATATTTTATGTTTTCAGTACTGTCAATAACTTTTTATTTGTGAGAACTTTATGTTTTCTTGTACCAGTCTGCAGTAATGAGTCTGATTTTGCTGCTCGTTTTCAAGAACTGTGCAAATATTTTATTTTGGAGAATTTAATTCAAATTTAAAAAAAAAAACTCTGAGAAAAAGAGAAGTGCAATACATGAGTTTGAAAGTTCTGGTAATTTTTTTTCTAGAAATCATCATTAATCAACACTCTGTGGAGGGCATTTCAGCATACATCCAGCAGTATGAAAAGTGCATATAAAACTGCTCAGGTGAGACTTCATCATGTTTACAGCTTTAAAAAGTGTATTGTTCTGGAATCCAACAAATTGACATAAAAAGAAGTTGACATCCATAGTGAGATTAATGTTTCTGTATTTCTCACTTTTGCATTTGTATACCAAAGAAATTTAATTCTAGACCCAGCTCATGCTCCTTTTAATTTAAACAACCTAAATGCAATAGGACATCTTTATAGTCAAATGTAATCTAATATTTCAGGGGAGAGAACCAAGTCTGACATCCTTCAATAAAGGGATGAGGGCAGCTGTGGACTATGCTTTCTTCAGCTCTAACTGTCTGGACAATGTGGGGGTCCTGGAGGTCGCTCCAGAAGAGGCCATCACAGAGACAGGGGGAATCCCTGACGAAATATTCCCATCAGACCATGTATCAATCAAGGCGGCTTTCTCATTCAGATAAACAACATCGGTAAGTTTTTAAGGCAATGAAATGTTTCACAAACGTCTCCTAAATAGATATAGAAGGAAAAAGAGTACTCCTTCTGGACTAGTCCACATGAATGAAAACGTGTGCGAAATCGTCGTGAAATTTTTTCTGTTTTAGCTTGTTAACTGACCTTTCAGTAATTCGAGTTCGAAAAAAATAAATCAATTTTTTTGTTAAAGAGATTTCTCTACAGTGAGAGATTTATACTAAAGAAGTGTTATAATGAGATATTTCTTACTAAATCATGTAAGCATTGTGTTCCTGTTTTTTTCACATGACGGCTTACCTACATGTATATGAAATAACCAACATGAATGATTTTGTCTTTTCAGTTCATGATCATTTGTGAAGAGAGCCTCAACTATAGATCTATTTCATCATTAATCATTGGTCATATCATCTGACTATCATTTGAATCATAGTTTACCTCTAGAGCTGATGGACGAGCAACTTAGTGCAGCTATTATTGAACATGGTCAGCCAGCCACCAACTACATGGTCAGCCAGCCACCAACTACATGGTTAAACAAGTCAACATTTAATATTTTTTGTGGAACCTGAAGAATACATTTTGACTATAAAAAGTTGCCTTTTTCTCCAAAATGGATTATTTTTTTTTTCTCTTTGAACTTTGTCCACCTAATATTTATCATCTCAAGAAAATCCAGATTTGTACAGAATATGCTTTATGAATGAGGACTCTTAGTTATTTGTTGTTTTTATGATAGAGTTAATGAATTATTTTATGAACATTTATGAATTCAATTGAGTATTTGGGTATTTTAATGTGTTTGTTGTTTTATTCCTCTTTAATGAATGTGGAGTTTGGATTCAGTGTTAGTTGATGTTGAGAGGTGCCGCTAAGTTTCAATACTTGATGTATACATTTTTTCATAAGCTTAATATATTATTGTGGAAGTTATCACCCTTTAAATATAGGTCTATGAAAATTTAAAATTTTTACGACTGAAATTGAAAGTCATTATTTTCTTATTAATTAAATTATTAATGAATTCTGACCTCAAAGAGGATGTTAACTTTTTAACAAACGAGGTGCTCTTTTTTCTCAAGATATTTATTATGCCAAAAATTATTAAGGTTTAATAATTTTATTTCATAGTACTTTTGTAATCTGAATAGATGGCATATACTTGGACAATAGAATAGCATTTTTAGAAGGCTCTGAATATAAATTTGGTGTAAAATATTTGGCTTTTCTGACAATATTTCAAAATTAACACGGGAAGAATAAAGTGTTTTTGATGTGGAACAACTTCAGTGTCATTATCAATATATATCATTCAGTTCATTGTAAATTGTTCATTCCTTTGAAGATAAAAACATGTTTAGTACACATTAATATTTTGGAAGAAAACAACATTTGTGTTTCTAATTTCATTTTCAAAGTTGTAGTTTCTTTTTTTGTACAAATTTAGAAATGACTCATATATGAATATTATGTATATTGGCAGTTTTCCATGTTTATAGCAAATGCTGTGTTTGTGATTGCATTATGTACTAAGACTGTCTGAGTTAACATATAGCCATGTTTATACAGGAATTACTTAAACACCCATAGGAAAGCATTCAAACTGATCTCGGTGATTCTCACTGCAATAAATTATTTAAAAACACACAATCAGCTGTCTTGTACATATTTACATGCAATTATAGGGCAATTAAATTGCAAGGTTGGATTTTTGAAATAAACATGGTAAACTTTTTTTTTTTGGTCTTTTTTTGTGTTTTGAGTGACAATGTTTATTAGTTATCTAAAGTGCACATTCCTAGAGTTGGATATTTCTGTTGTTTACTTGCAAACATAATCCCCTCTATGCATGTACACTAGAAAAAACAACTTTGTTATAGTTTATCGGGAATATGACTCCATAGCAAAACTCTGTTAATAATGAGGATGTCTCTTTCTCGTCAATATTTTGTCCAAGACCAGGATATCTGTACTCCTCTTTTTACTGTTAAAGTGAGGATGTCCAACTAATCAAAAGGTATGTAAGTTCCCATCAATACTTTTATGATGATGAGGACACTAATAATTCATCATCAAAACGTACAAGATAAGGATATATCTTTTCATTCATACTTCCTTGGTAAAAAAGGAAGTGTGTAACTTCTCATCATTTTCAAGGCAATGACATCCGTAAAAGTGAAACTGTTCAAGAAAAGGACATGATTCCTCATCTATACTGTGTTCAAGATGAGAACATCTATATCTGTTTTATCAAAACTCTGTTCAAAGCGAGGATATCCATAAAAACTCATCAAACCTATGCTTATGATGCGGATTCGTCTAATTTCTTTCATTAAAATTCATTGAAGATGAGAACAAGCAAATTTAAAGAATTGTGGTCCCCCGCTTTCGGTGTCTTAGTGGATGGGATGCTATTATTTATTTAATATTGTGTCATATATGAACGCCCTATCATATGTCATTCAAAAGTAATCACCAAAGTTAAAATTTTTGAAAATTGGGTCGAACATGATGGTCAAGGCCAAGGGGTCAAAAATCATAGCATTATCGGAAAAATCTTGTCATAGGTAAAGCACAGGTCAAATATGAAAGCCCTATCCCTTCTCGATCAAAAGTTATAAGGAAAAATAACATTTTTGAAAAGTAGATCAAACTTCAAGGTCACAGGGTAAAAACCATTGTATATTTAGCTCACCTGAGCCAAAGGCTCAAGTGAGCTTTTCTGATCAAAATTTGTCCGTTGTCTGTCGTCGTCGTCGTTGTTGTCGTTGGTGTTGGCGTTGTTGTCGTAAACTTTTCACATTTTCATCTTCTTCTCCAGAACTACTCGGCCAATTTCAACCAAACTTGCCACAAAGTATCCTTAGGTGAAGGGGATTCATGTTTGTTCAAATAAAGGGCCACGCCCTCTTTAAAGGGGATATAATAAAAAATTAGTGAAAAATTAATAGCATCTTTTGAAAATCTTCTTCTCAAGAACCACAGGGCCAGGAAAGATGAAATTCATATGGAAGCATCCTCAGGTAGTGTAGATTCAAGTTTGTTCAAATCATGACCCCCAGGGGTAGGGCGGGGCCACAATAGAGGATCAAAGTTTTACATAGAAATATATAGGAAAAACCTTTAAAAATCTTCTCAAGAACAGCAAAGCCCTGATAAGTCATATTTATATGGAAGCATCCTCAGGTAGAGTAGAATCAATTTTGTTCAAATCATGACCCCGGGGGGTAGGGCGGGGCCACAATAGAGGATCAAAGTTTTACATAGAAATATATAGGAAAAACCTTTAAAAATCTTCTTCTCAAGAACAGCAAAGCCCTGATGAGTCATATTTATATGGAAGCGTCCTCAGGTAGAGTAGATTAAAGTTTGTTCAAGTCATGACCCCAGGGGGTAGGGCAGGGCCACAATAGAGGATCAAAGTTTTACATAGAAATATATAGAAAAAACCTTTAAAAAAATCTTTTTCTCAAGAACAGCAAAGCCCTGATGAGTCATATTTATATGGAAGCATCCTCAGGTAGTGTAGATTCAAGTTTGTTCAAATCATGACCCCGGGGGTAGGGCGGGGCCACAATAGAGGATCAAAGTTTTATATAGAAATATATAGAAAAAATCTTTAAAAATCTTCTTCTCAAGAACAGCAAAGCCCTGATGAGTCATATTTATATGGAAGCATCCTCAGGTAGTGTAGATTCAAGTTTGTTCAAATCATGACCCCGGGGTAGGGCGGGGCCACAATGGAGGATCAAAGTTTTATATAGAAATATATAGAAAAAATCTTTAAAAATCTTCTTCTCAAGAACAGCAAAGCCCTGATGAGTCATATTTATATGGAAGCATCCTCAGGTAGTGTAGATTCAAGTTTGTTCAAATCATGACCCCGGGGGTAGGGCGGGGCCACAATGGAGGATCAAAGTTTTATATAGAAATATATAGAAAAAATCTTTAAAAATCTTCTTCTCAAGAACAGCAAAGCCCTGATGAGTCATATTTATATGGAAGCATCCTCAGGTAGTGTAGATTCAAGTTTGTTCAAATCATGACCCCGGGGGTAGGGCGGGGCCACAATGGAGGATCAAAGTTTTATATAGAAATATATAGAAAAAATCTTTAAAAAAATCTTCTTCTCAAGAACAGCAAAGCCCTGATGAGTCATATTTATATGGAAGCATCCTCAGGTAGTGTAGATTCAAGTTTGTTCAAATCATGACCCCGGGGGTAGGGCGGGGCCACAATGGAGGATCAAAGTTTTATATAGAAATATATAGAAAAAATCTTTAAAAATCTTTAAAAATCTTCTTCTCAAGAACAGCAAAGCCCTGATGAGTCATATTTATATGGAAGCATCCTCAGGTAGTGTAGATTCAGATTTGTTCAAATCATGACCCCCGGGGGTAAGGCGGGGCCACAATAGAGGATCAAAGTTTTACATAGAAATATATAGGAAAAATCTTTAAAAATCTTCTTCTCAAGAACAGCAAAGCCCTGATGAGTCATATTTATATGGAAGCATCCTCAGGTAGTGTAGATTCAAGTTTGTTCAAATCATGACCCCTGGGATAGGGAGGAGCCACAATGAGGGATCAAATTTTTACAAAGGAATATTGTTTAAAAATCTTCTCAAGTACAACAAAGCCATTTGTTATATTGACATGGAAGCATCATCAGGTAGTTTAAAATTCAAACCCCCCCCCCCTCCCCTACCGGTAATCTTTTCAATACTGAACTGATTTGTGCTTTTCCCTACCAAATGTGCTCAGGTGAGCGATGTGGCCCATGGGCCTCTTGTTAGAAAGGTCTTGTCACAAGTAATATACATGTATAATATGAAAGCCCTATCTTTTCTCTTTTAAAAGTTAGGACAAATATAACGTAATGTTAAAATTTTTGAAAACTAGGTCAAACTTCAAGGTCACAGGGTAAAAAATAACAGTATATTTAGAAAGGTCTTGTCACAGGTAATGTACATATGAAATATGAAAGTCCTGTCTCTTCTCATTCAAAAGATATGACCAAGGTTACAGTTTTTGTGACTGACAGATGAATGAGATTTAATGCCCCTCGCTTTCGCGAAAGGGGGGACAATAAATCTTGCTGAGGAAGTATAGCCCTCAGATTTAGTTAAAAAGGAACTTGCACTGTATGTAGGGAAATTTTAGCTCCGTTTTATTTTCGTTCTCGTCGTCAGTGCGCAAATTCAACATAGACAAGACCGTATCTAAACGGGGCAAATTCGTTTGCGAGTGTGATAGGTCGAAAATACATAGGCCTGTATACAATGATGATTCACTTTCCCAGCTTTTGTATGTTCATGTGCTCTCTGATTTTGATTACCCACGGGGACAAAACCTGTGGAAAAGACAGTAAAAGCTAGATCCTTAGAAAATTTTGATTCAATATGTGGAATACATAACGATTTCCCGTCCCCCTTCTCCCTTTGTCGCAATCATGCTTATTTTCATCTTGAGTTAATATTTTATCCCAAAAGTAATTGTTAAGACAACATTTTCGCCTGACAAAGAGGTTTGAAATGATTGGAGCAGTAGTGGTTATTAAGTCGTACGTCATCATTGATACGACGTAATACAGCGCATGCGTTGTCAGGATATTTGTTATTGACCATGTCAGGAAGAGGGGCGGGTTTCCCTGAATATTTCCACACAAACTGACCATTGTGTCCCTGGTCCACTGCCCCAGTGAGGACCGTAGCGTCATCAACTGAATAAAAGAATATTGACCAGTGTACATGAAAACGATTTTGGGGGTAAATGGAAAGTAACGAAAGTAAGGATTTTTTGTAGGGTCTTAAACTTAGGAATATTCATTTTCATTTGAATTGTTCAAGTTCTATTTGCCTAAGTTAAGTAATATCTAAAGAAATCAAGTTTGAAGACCCATCCATATGGAGCACCAAATTAACATAATTCAAATAGAGTTTCTGTTAATTTTGGTTCTACATACACCCTTAACGTTTACACGAGACAAATAAAGTTTAATATATCTGTTAAAGGATTTTGCCACTCAAAGAAGAAAATACACATTTTACAACATGACAGGTAAAATCAGGTAAATCAGAAATTATAGTTTATAGATGAATATGAATAGATTTCATTTGCAAAGTATGAAGTACAAAATTTAATAAAAATATTTAATGAATTCCTGTATGTTATTGAACAAGTTATGAATGTAAAAGTTAACACTACATGTACACATGAATATTACTTATGTTTTTGAGGTGATCCATGTCTCGTTGAGATAAATCTTCAGCCAATATAGAGCAGTGATTATTACAATATTTCTGAAAATAGAGAGAATATAGGAATCCTTGTTAAATTATTAATTTTAAATTGTGAAATAATTAAGGAGCACCCCCCCCCCCCCCCCCAACTCTAAAGGTTAAACAATGCAACATACTCAACTTTGCACACTGCGATTACTGATATACTTGTTCACGAACGAACTTTTATAAAACGATTTCAGCTATTTACTTGGGCGTCTGTGTAGTTAAGATGGTTGCTTCCTACAAGTAACATTTTCCCAAAACCAAATGAAACCGATGCGGACAGTGGTGGTCCTCGGAGGAATAAATGCAGCCTGCTCAAAATTAAGAGTATTTCAGTCATTGTTAGAAATAGACCTTAAAAATAACCTGCGGAATAAATACAAAAAAAAATCAAATTAACTATCAGCAGCATTTAATTTAAATCATTAGTTTAATTGCCTATACAGATAATTTAAGAGGAACGATTTTTAATTTGCTAGCCTTACCGGACATAGGGGGAGGCGTGGGTAGTGTAACGTGATGCTGAGCGTGGTAATTACAGAGACTTCCATTACAACAGTCTCCATCAAGCGCCAGCTCCAGGGTGTCGCCACGTTTTCCAAAGACATGTGATGCTTGTGAATGGAAATGCGTGCACGCCTAAATACAGAAGCATTATAAATAATATTTACAAGCATTGTGATACTATTCATTATGTATACAAAGTTTAATAAATGGTTTTATATTTTTAAAACTCAATCATGTATCTTGACAATTTTATCTAAAGAAATTGAAGTTTTTATCAAAATGGCTGAAGTTGTTCAATACGCAGATATTTAAAACTTTTGAAGGTACAATGTATATACAATTTTTAGTAGATTTTTTTTTTCAATCGGGGACTTACACTTTCTTGCACACAACCAAGTTTATATCCATGGACGTTGTCTGAATTTAAAGTTTCAAGAGTGTAACATTTCTGGGGGAAAAAAAATGCCAGTAGAGGTAATTATTTTAAATCTGTCATCATTTTATTTTCATTTTTGAATGTCTCAGAAGGAAAATCTTTTACCTCGTTTGCTTGACACAGCGTTGTCTGGTTACAGATTTCGGTAGTTGAAACATGTGAACACGAATAACACTGTACTATGTAGAAAAACTGACTCTGTTTTATAACAACAGGCAGATAAACTCATTTAACAATGAAAAAGAAGAACTCAACAAAAATGTTCTGGCTTCCAATTTATCTCATTCATGTGAACAGTTGATTAGTTTGCTCCTTAAAGGGGCGACCATTGGTCTTCAGAGATAAAATATGGAGATAACGAACAGTAATCAAGCTCAAAAGTCCATTGAAACAATGCAGGTCGGAAGCAGAGCAAACACTGACCTCTATTTTTTCAGCATCAGAGGAGGAATCAGGTGCCATGGAGGAGTAAGCATCCCCTGACGACCGGTCACACCCGCCATGTGCCCATTGTCATGATCAAGCAAATGAAAAATCCGTAGACAATTCAGTGTATAAATATATGTAATGGCCTAAAAATTAGTATGAAAAACGTCAGTCGGTATTCAACTTAATGATAGATTGTATTTGCTGACAAGGTCATTGTATCGACCATAGAACTTGCAAAATGTTGATTTCAAACGAGACTGTTGAAATCCTTGTTTCATCAACTTGTTTGTCAATAGCTTGTCTCGATTTAGATATTGTACGTACGTAGAGCATGTTCTTCCGTATCGAATCAACTGGAAGACATAAACTCCATTTATAGGTGATAAGGGTATATTACTACATAAATATAAGGAAGTTGATGATAGAAAAGTTAAAGTTATCATATTTATCAAAATTTTGTTGTTAGGTTATTACCATTGCGCTTTTTCTAGCAAAATATCCAAATATGAAGCAGATGTATCAAGCTCTGTGGTATCTTTTATTTCAAGTTTACTGGGATATATCGAGTCAACATATGAATGGAAGTAATTAGTGTTAATTGATAATTCGTCGTCGATATATCTAAATGTTGAGTTGAAGGGCGGCCACAGCAAGTATTTTTTTCTTCTTCTGTAGAAGTTTCTGAATAAATTCTGCTTCATATGAATAAAAAAATAGGTCTGCTAATAAAGGGGCGAAATTGGTACCCATGTGAGTTCCAAAGTATTGTTCGAAGACTTGATCTCCAAAAATTACTGCTACATAGATAATATTGTCAATCAGACACCCAAGCATCTTTTAATATCAAATTCGAAGTACTTGGATGTGTACTTGTTTGTAGATACCTTCATGTGTATAAATCTGTAGATCACGTAGAGAACTTATACTTCCATTGACCCAAAAAGTTGTTTGACATTAAAAAGTGTAGAACATTGATGTCATCTTTAAACTCGAATATTGTACATTCTCGATCGCAATTTAATTTTTGGACATATCGTGATGGTACCTATCCTTTGAGGTGAATCAGGAGAAATTCTTACAATCGCACATTTAACTGATCCATTTCAAAAATATAATCGATCATTTTCTGACCGAGACACACAGTTACAAGTACCCTGAATTCCACGTAAATCCATTCCAGGGCTTGTGGATAGACAAATACGTGACTAAAACATATTTCCGGTGCACATCTTAATCAGACAGGAATGGGTGAAACGTCAACTCTTTTCTATCGTTTTTTATCAAAAAAAAAAAGTTCAAGGGTTTATACAGGTAGAATATTCATTTGAGAGTGAAATGTCAAGGTCAACATAATTGATCTTAATACTTTTGCGAACAAAATGTGTAGAGTACCATTTGACCATTCAGTCTCAAACTTGCTAAAGAGGATGTTTTCAAAGGTCAAGGTCAAAGTAAGCCCGAATCATTGATGTTGTGGTGGGCACCATTTGTAAAGTATTATTTGACCTTCTAAAGCTTTCTAAAGAGTGGTAGGTGACCAGAAAGACACGTCATTTTATTTGGGGATCAAAAGATTAAGGTCTTTATTGTGAATTTGTAACAGTATTGTGGTCAGATTACTAATATGTAGAGTACGGTAAATCTTCCAGGTTCAAACTTGGTCAAGGACTGTGAAAGATGTCAAGTTACCGACCCAATTTAAAGAGCATCACTTGGCCTTTCAGTCTCATACTGCAACAGAGATGTCTAGATGCCAAAGGAAAAAAAGAGTATTGATATTTGGACAAGGGGTTCAAGGAGAGTTAAACGTGTAATCTAATTTGTGGACGCGGTATGGCGCTCATGGGAAGATATTCATGAACACCATAACAATTTATTACATGAGAAACTGTGTTTTGTGAATAAAGCAAATCCACCTTTTAAGATATAAGTTATGTAGTTGGTATTTGGATTGCTCCCTACCCCGAGGTACTTAAGTTTTGGAAAATTGGAATTTTCTGTACGAAAACTCCCCCCCCCCCTTCACCTGGCTTTTTTGCGTATTAGTGGGCAGACCTGTTATTAACTAGTAGTTAAAAATATAACTAAACCCAGTTTGGTTTCGGCGAGAACATACGATCTGCCTCACTTACCCCAACCCCCTCCTCCGACTCGAAAGCAAACAAGTGGTCATAACGTAAGTGAGAAAGAATGAAATACTTGTAATTCTATACTGACAATAAATTCACTAAATGCCATACTACATTTTCCACAGGTTCTTGGGCAAACCTTAAACACACAAGAGTCAGAGCACATCCCGGATTTCAAGGATGTCAATCGTTGACAGGCAGAAGGATCGACGTCGTCACAACCTGAAAAATGTACTTAAAAATGTAAATTTTAATCACAAATGAATTTAAAGAATGAGGTGCAACTGGGAGTGAGAATATGATCCATATTCTTGAAAAAGGGATGATTAACAAATCTTTTCTTTTGTTGAGATAAACCCAGGAATACATACCTGTAAGGGGAGACAATGTGATTCCGGTATCGTGAAATGGGTCTTCCGATGAAGAGTCACTGCTTTGGGCGTTACAAAGATCTGTGTCACAGCAGTTCCCATGGAGGGCCACTCGTTTTTCATGAGTTTCACGTCCTATGATTACCATTGAGGAATGATAGCCGTACAGAGATTCGCAAACCTGACCACAGAAAGAGAGCAACATTTTGCAGCAATTCGACGAAAATAAGATGTCATGAAAATTTGGTGATCTACAGTGCTGCAAATTGCCACCGTCTGCATAAAGATTTTAAATGAGTCGTAGATGGTATACAGTGTTTACAGTATTAACAGTCTCTTACCGCCGCCTAAATATGACTGAAATATTGCCGACTCGGCGTTTAGCGACAATCAATCAATCAATCAATATCAATCAATCAATCAGTCTCTTACCGAAGTCGTGGCACATCCGAATTTAACCACAACCGTAAAATCGTCTCCGATTGCCTCGGATACAATGCATTTCTGAAAAAAATCCTTAAATCCTTACAAATAATTAAAAAAGAATAACAAATTAACAAACATTGTTGGTGCTCACTTTCTTCACATTATTAACACTGTTACATGAAATCCAAATATACAATGTTATCTAGCTTATATTTACTCAGTTCTAAATCATTTTCGCGTTGCATTCAAATAAATTTAAATTTGAATGAATCAAGATTTGTAGATAATTTTATTTAAAAAAAAGACAGAGACTATGCAGAAACATTTTTTCTACTTTTACATCTGTGCCATAATGTGTGATCAAAAGTTTTCTTACATGGTCCATACTTGGACATGTCAGTGTTGTATTGCATGTATTGTCCGAGGTTCCAGTGTCGCAGTGGTAGCACACGAGGGCTATATAATTAAATCAGAACATCAATTAATGTGGATATGTGTTGAACTTAGCAAGTGTCAACACCTATCTAAGGGATCTTCAAAAAAAAAAAAAAAAAAAAAAAAAAAAAAAAAAAAAAGAGTAATGGGTAATTTGGCTTGGGCTATATATGCATCGTTCAAGCGTTTATACATGTACATGTAAATGAGAATTCAGTAATCACATAGAAAAAGGCAGAAAATTCAGTCACATATATCGTGAATTTACAACTTTTATGTTTTATAGTTTTAGAATATTGTTTACACTGAGAAAAATGTAGCTATTCTGTGTGTTCCAGGTCTCTCTCTCTCTCTCTCTCTCTCTATCTCTCTCTTGGCGGAAGGTACTTACGGCATTTTTTACATGTACGTGGACACAAACTGATGTAACAAGGATCGCTACACATTTCAATCCGTCGATAAAATAACTGGCAAGCTTGTTTATCGATATCATCACAAATTGATTGACTCGTCCCCAAAACGCCAAAAACTGACAGAATACCTAGATAAACTACATTGAACGAAATACATGTAATATTATTACATGTATTTCGTTCAATGATTATATTTTTACTAGTGCATTGCATATAAGTTCATCTACCTTACGATACATGAAAAAACGTAATTCTTTTTCGCGTATTGCCGAAAAAAATATGTTCTGTTAGGTTTGTACATGTATTAATGAAAAACAGGAGAAAAAACTGACCCCATATGATATCCATTGTTCGTGATACTATCTCACTACCGAGGTAATTTATTCACCAAAGTGCTTGACATTTTCATATTTTTATCTATATGGAAATGCTATTTATAACAAGCATTCTGAGAGTATTGTATTAGCAATACTAGTCCTCTACCAGC